AATCTGACTAGGCTGGAGCCAGTGAGCGCCAGGGGCCTACCTGTCTCCCTCCCCAGTATTGGGTTTATAAGTGCAGGTAACCACACAGGGCTTCTCACTTTGGTTCTGGGAACTGGAACTCAGGTCCTGATGCACGAACAGCAAGTGTTTTCCCAACTCAGCCCTCCCTAACCCCTCAATCTGCCACCGCCGATCTTAGGTCTTCCTGGGTATATAAAGTAGATCCATCCCAGTATCCTTCATGCTGTCAGATCGGAAACTATTCTATCTTCAATTAAGACCAAGAAATAAATACTGCAGATGGGGGCCTTTGAAGTTCTAGGATGCAAGCTGTGCAGTGTGGTGTGTTGAAGGGTCATGGCTGTGGGGTAAGGGTTAGAGAACACCAAATGGGAACAGATTCAAGAGATAGGAAGTCCTTCCTGCCTGGCTTAGGGTGGAATGCGGGGAGCTGGGAGGCTCAGCATAGTGGAGCCCTTGGGAAACCTTTGAGAAGAGATTGAGCCAGATGGGGAGAAAGGTTGGGGTGGTAGAATCCTTGGAGATCTGCAGTCGAAGGCATCTGTTACAGTCCAATAGGCTAGGTCTCAGAGAACACTGGAACATCATGGCCACTAACCCACAAGCCTAGTGACAGAGCTGGGACCAGCCGCAGTGGGGGTGAGGTCCGGAAGAGATTTTTCAAATGGGGGGGGGGGCTTGCAGTTCATGGAAGGTGTTGGCCCCGGCTTTGTCACGCTGGAGGCAGCTTCCCTCCCTCTGGCCTGAGCTCAGGTCCCTTAGCTGGCTGGGCTCCCCTCTGTTCTTGCTCCAGGCTGTCCCCTGTGGCTTCTCAGTTCCGCGCCTCTTCTTAAAGGGACCTTACCTTTAATGACACATTGCTCAGGCCACCTCACTTTCCCAACTCTGTCCACAGCCGGCCACTGGCTTCTGCATTGCTTTCTTTTTCTTTTTAAACTTTGATTGATTGATTTGGGTTGCAATGTTGGGAATTGAACCTAGAGTCCCATGCATGCTAGGGCAAGAAATCTACCCCTGAGCTTTATTCCTAGCTCTGTTTGTGTGAGGTGTGTGTGTGTGTGTGTGTGTGTGTGTGTGTGTGTGTGTGTTTATGTGCACATGTCACGTGCATACACACAGAAGACAACCTCAGGTATTGCTCATCTGCCTTCCTATCTCTTTTGGACATACAGTCTTTTACTGGCGTGGGACTTACTAAGTAGGATACGCTGACTAGCCAGCAAACTGGGAAGCCCTGTTAGTCCTCCCGCCTCCTTGTCCCCAGCTTTGGTATCACACAAACACCTATGTCTGGCATTTTTTTCACATGGATTCTGGAGACTGAAAACAGGTACTGATGCTGGCAAGGCCAAGACTTTACCAACTAAGACATTCCTGGTTTTGATCAATGCACAATCATTATGCATCCCTGTGGAGTACAAGGCAATGTGTCAATAGATGCCCATTCTATATAATGACCAAATCAGGATCACTAGCCTAGCTGTCACCTCAAACCCCATCATCCCTCCACTTACTGTTCTAACAAGGGTGAGTTTGGAAGGCAGGAGAAGACCCGTTCATCTGCCTGGGTGGCTTCTGAATTCCAGCAAGCAATTCTCGTAAGGCTGGGCCTCGGCATCCCATTCAAGGAAGTGTGCTTCTGGGCAGGGTCAGTCTCATCTGTGGTAGCCCTGAAACCAAGCCCAGCAGCCGTGTTGGTCTCCATCTCCTGAACGCCCAGGTGTTCCTGTCATTTTATGTCCATTGCCTTGTTCTCTCCTCATGGAACGAACACCCTGGGGAAGGCATGGCGAATATGTCAATATCTCAGATGCAGCACCTGAGCTCCTAGCTAGGGGATAGCCTTAAGGTCTCCACCAGTCACATAGAGAAAGCCAGGGGGTCAAAGTCCAGGCTGCCTGGCTTCCAGGCCTCTGCTCCTGGTTCTGCCAACAAGCGGCTGGAGCTAAGACAGCAGATGGGCAGAGGTGTAAGTAGCCACTGTGCCTAGCCCCTCCCACTGAGGAAACGTCACATGTGATAATGGGTATCACGAGGACACTGACCAACCAGAGCGACCATGGCTGTGAACAGCTGCTATTAACCTGTGCCAGCTTGGGTCATCCTGGCTCTTATCCCTGGTTTGGCAAGGTCTGGTAGGAGGGGAGGAGCAGAGAAGGCTGAAGAGGGCTCAGGGCACAGGAAGATGAGGGGACAAAGGCAAGGAGTGGGGGCAGGGCACGTATCTGACCCTAGGCATCAGTCGGACCTTCCTAGAGTTCCACCATGCTGCTAGCCTTGCCTCTTCACCTCAGCCTCTGGAAGCTTCTCCATGTACTCTGCACTCAACCCAGAGATATCCTGCTCACCAGTTCCTTGGGATCCACAAGGCTGATGAAATAAAGGGACTAGCTTCATTTCCTTCCTGACTCTACCCATCGGCCTTCAGTTTGGGGCCCGGCAAAGCCTGACCCTCAGACACTAGGGCCTTGTCTCACCCACTCTGTGGCTAACATCGAGAGAGGGCCACTCTCTCTGCTTGTCTGTGAGGGAGTCTCTAGGTTAGGCCGGTAGAGGTGGGGTCGCTGTAGCCCCGACTGCATAAAGAGAGGAAACCAGGCTGGCTCCCTTCTCCATCACTACTACAGATGTGGTGTAACCTCTGTCCTCCTCTGTCCACACCTTCCTACCAGGAGGGACTATGCGGGCAAACATCCCGAAGAGGCCCTGTCAGGGATTTGGTCCCAGCAATGGGAGTGAAAGACACCACCAGTCTCAGTTACCAGCTGCCATATCCCATGGAAAACCCCAGGTAGTCCTCCTGGAGCATCTGAGGTCTGCCACTGTGGCCCGGGATAGTGAGGCCGCATCCTGGTCCTAGAACGCTCCTCTTACTCCTTGGAAAGATTCCCGATTGCTTGTTAACTGCTAGCTTGGTGTTTCCTGGCTGCTTAATAAAGAGTCCTCCTTCCTCGATTCCTGAGAACAGGGGTGGTTCCTAAGTTGACAGACTTGTTTGAGCACCACGGAGTACAGGTCTTTTATTACCTTAGAAATGAAGGTCATCAGGAGGCAGGAGATGCAGCTGCTACCTTCAAGGTGCCTCGAATAAATTTGAGGGCCAGTGTTCAATCAAGAATAGAGCCAGCATCATACGGCTCTTTTAGACTATTTTATTGAAGGCTGGCCCGAACCTATTAAAAAGTATACCACAAGATTTATAAAGAAAGATAAAAATGGGACCACTAGAAAAGCTTTAGAATGGACATTAAAGTGGGTTGTAATTTAAATGAGGGTTGACATAAAGTTTCACAACTGTTAACTAAATTGTTAGGAGTTCAAGGGTAAGGTGCTCTTCTCTAGGAAGTTCCGGGGTTCACCAGTGCCACGTTTACTTTTTTAATTTCTCTGTAAGATTCTAGAGCTTTGTTCAAAGGGATGCTTCAGAGTCGGTACGGCAAGTTCACAGGGTTCAAGGGAAATCATCACTGTGTAGGAAGAGTCGCTTGGATGGACAGTGATGGGGATGAACTGCCACCTGGGCATAGAGCTCTCTGATAGACCATGCCCCCAGGTGTGGGTGATGAGTGCACAGGCATCGGAAGATGTGGCTGTTGGCTCCTTGGGATTTAAAAGTTTATATATTTCAGCATTTTCAGCAATGATTTCGTGACAGCTGTGGGTAGCCTTCACGTGCTAATAATCCAGAACAAGGAGAGACAGCAAAGTACCAAGACTCAAAAGTAACTCAGCAACCCACACCAAATTAAATAAAGATTGACAAGCTGGCTCACCAGGTAAAGATGATTGCCACCACACCTGGCCATCTGGGTTCCACCCTAGGAATTCACATGGTGGAAGGAGAGAAATGGCTCCCACAGGGTTTGCACTGACTTCTACATGAACATCACAGTACTCTCATGTGTGCAAGCACTCACGTGTCCCCCCCCCCACTGTGCAAACAAACAAACAAACAAATCCTCTGTTTGTATTCAGAAGATGGCGCTCTGTGGGATCTGGGCAAGCCTGAGTTTGTGAATCTTTTTAGTCTCCTTGTTAGATCCACTCGGGTCATCTGAAGTATGTTAGGGACCAGAGGTGGAAGATGGCTATGCCCTCAAGTGTTCTGTGTGCAGATGGCTTAACTTAAGCAATCCAGGGGCAGCCATGGCAACTGTGGTGAGGGCTCCTCCTCCAGCTGGTACCACTGAGTGTGGTTTCCCCAGTGGCAAGTCAATGAATTAACCCCTCCTTTCCCAACCCATCAATCAGCCCCCTTTCTGGTCAGAGAACTCTCCTCTGACCTTGGTGGCTGTGAAAAGCACATGGGACCAGATTTCCCTGAATATATTCAGTACCATCCCAAGGGCAGCCTCATCTGACTTGGGGTTTAGTCTCCAGCTCTCCTCATGTGGAGGGCACTGGTCTCCTTTACAGTGGAGGAGTGAGCCATTGCCTTATGGATATTTTGTGCTACTTGAAGCACGCCTGAGTACAAGAGAGTGAGCAAGAGCTGAGGAGGGGGGGTCTTTCCATCGTCTACTTCTCTGGATGGAGCTGTGGCCTATAATTAGCTCAGAGTTCTTCTAATAGCTGACTTCTGCTCTCCCTGACCCTGAAATGATCAGAGCGTTGTACTTTGGTATATGTTGACCTACCAGGGGCCAGTGAACTCCTAGGATATCCTCAACATCAGCTAAGCACCAGCTCTGACAGCCAGGAGGTCACATGTAACTATCATCCCCTTCACTTCTCTAGAGACAAAGAAAGGGACGGGGGAAATGTCCAGGTCACCAAACACCTGCGAGTCTGCTGAGGCCAGCTGAGTAACTTCAGGTGAAGGTTCTGGAAGAAGCAGAGAGTCTGTGGGAGAAGGGACAGGCCTTCGATACTGAGCTGATGGCCCCCAATAGGCTCTGTGACAAGAGTTCTGACGGCCTTTGTCCCGACCTGTCTGGCTCTTTCCCATGACCACCCGTTCTCTCTGTCCTGCTTCCTAGGTTGTGCCAATGAGGACCTAACACAGCTGCCTGCTGACCATCCCAGCCTGCAGTGACCATGGCTCTCAGCAAGAGAAGTCACCATGGCCTAGGTTTCCTTTGCTGCTTTGGAGGCAGTGACCTCCCCGAGATCGACCTGCGGGACAGCAACCCATTGCAGTATCTGGACTTCTCCGGTCCCATCCCGAATCCAGAGGAGCTCAACGTCCGCTTTGCAGAGCTGGTGGTCAGTGTGGGAAGGATTGAGAGGACTCTGATGATGGGGAAAGGGTGGACAGAGAGCAGAGAAGGGCAGAGGCCAGAAGCCTGTGTGCTGAGTTCTCCGCTCCAGGAAGCTCTTCTCAGGGGGGTTAGGTAGCACCTTCCAAAGCACCTTCCTTGCAGAGGAAACAGACCCTCACTGAGGCAGACTCATGACATGGACCATCCAATGGTCCCCAGGACAAAAGATCTACCTCCAGTTCCCTGTAGTTCTGGACCATCTGGTGCTACACCAGCCTGACTGCCATTAGAAGGGGTCAGATTGTGGAAAGAGACATTGAGAACTCCTGATATCTCTCTCAGTTGCTTTCTGGAATTTCTGTAGGAGCCTTTGATTTCAGAAGTAAGCAGAAAGTGGGGTTCTCCAGGGGACCCCGAGAGCCCTGGTACAGGGAGATGACTACCAGGAACACAGAGGCAGAGGTGGGTGGGTCTTGCCTCTACCTGGCTGGGCTGTGCAGAGAACAGGTTGATGAAAGAGTGTCTCCTTGTCACTAAATCTGCAGACTTGTTTAATTTCGAAAGCAGGCAAGCTGATAAGCATTATCTTAAAGTGTATGGTATATACTGCCCTGTCCTACAGCAGGAGCAGGAGTTCAAGGTCATCCATCCTAGCTGCATAGTGAATTCCAGACTAGCCTGAGATACAAGAGAACCTATCTCAAAAGGAAAAAAAAATAGAAATAGTGTGACATATATCACTGATATTTTTTTACATTTATTACACATTGAAATGGTCATATTTTAGGTATATTAGTTGAAATAAAATGTAACATTAAAATTAACTTCATCTATTTTTCCTCTTTAATTTTTTTTTTAGTGTGACTAGAACATTTTAAAATATGCTACTCCCACTATATTTCTACTTAACAGTTCTGACCTAGGGAAGGAGAAATCTTATATGTTCTCCCTAAAGTCCTAGGGCTGGAGAGATGGCTCAGTGGTTAAGAGCGTTTGCTGCTCTTACCGAGGCCCCCAGCTTGGTTCCCAGCACCACACTGAGTGATTTACAACTGCCTGTTAGTTCAGCTCCAGAGGATGTATAAAAATATCCAAGACAATGACCCCGAAATATGGCAACCTCAGAGGCTTGCCTCTCAGGCAGTACAACCCAGCCCGGTGGAGCCCTGAGCCTTTCACAGCCTCACCTAGAGCCCTAAGGTAGAAGGTATGCAAATCGATGTCAGCGCCTCCTTCAGGATGGTGTCCAGTTCCCCCTGCTCAGGCTCTGGTCCTCATCTCTCTGGCTCAGCTTTTCCGGCCAAGGTTAGCTTGAAGGAGCCAGGAAAATTCACAGGAGAGACTCAATAGGCAGGTAGAGGGATGGGAGGAGCTGAGAAAGAGGCAAGCCTATCTAATGGCATGGGACCTCTTCTGTCAGGCCTTAAGCTAGGGTGTTAGCAGACTATAAAGACAAGCATACACGGGATGCATCAGGTGAGGGAACAGCAAAGCAAAGACAAGAAAGGTGGGAACAGGGTGGCCTGGAGCAGAAAGGGGATTTACAAAGACAAGGAGTGTGGGCAGGAAGCAAAGGAGCACTGGGTAGAAGCTGGACTCGCTGAGGCGAGGGCTTGGGCCAGTGCTTCTCACAGAACAAGAAATGCCTTGGTGTGTGTGAGCTCTCAGGAAGGAGGAGCATAGGCTACGGAGTAGTTTGGGGGTGTTCGGAGGGGTTCGGGGGTGGGGGGGCCCTGTAGAGCCTCATACTCAGGCACGATTCTTCTCGTCTTCATAGGATGAGTTGGACCTCACAGACAAAAACCGAGAGGCTGTGTTTGCGCTACCACCAGAGAAGAAATGGCAGATCTACTGCAGCAAGAAGAAGGTGCCGCCCCCCCCCCTCCACCTTAGGGACCCCAGGGGGCAGGGGCAGTTCTTCATTCATTCGCTCTTTCTTTAATTCATGCAAAAGATAGTCTTAGGTGCACACTAAATGTGAGAGCAAACCGTCGAGAAAAACCAAGTGTGGTCTAGGAAGAGAGTTCAGTCAGGAAAGCACTTGCTATGCAAACTCGAGAACCTGAGTTCAAATTCCAACAACCACTTAAAAAAGCTAGATAATGGATGCATGCTTGTAATCCCACTGGAGGGAGAGATCCTGGGGCCTTGTGGGATAACGAGCTTGGCTGAGTTGTGGGGTTCCCAGGTCACATTGAGACCTTATCTCAAAAAATAGGGTGAATGGCTCCTGAGGAACAGTATGTGAGGTGTCCTCTGCCTTCCATATGTGCATGCATGCATACATACGCACACTCATATATTAGCACGCTACTCACATACACCTGCATACAAACCCACACCAATAAAACTCATTTTTTAAAAAAGGCAAGAAAAGCATCCCTATTCTCTTGGGCTTCCTCTCTGAGAACTAGGATTCTCTACTGCAGAAAGCCATGGGGCAGGCACCTGCCAGACTCCTGGGCTGCGTCAGGGTCAGTGAGACGCTAAGATGAGAAGGTCACTTTCCTTCTTAAGCCTGCTCCTGGCACACTGGCAAAGCTCCATGTCCTAAAAGTTCCATAACCTCCCTAACTGGGATCCAAGTGTCTGAATGCACACGCCTGGGGGGGGGCATTTTTTATTCAAACCACTATCTCCAATAATGAAACTTTTATTTAAAGCAAGCAGGATGGAGAGAGCTCACTGATAAAGCGCACACGCATGAGGAGCTGAGTGTGGTCCACAGTCTCCGTTTAATGAAATCCACGTGTGGTGGTCAGCACGTTTATTATCCCAGTGGTAGGGAGGCAGGTTGAGGTGGGTTCCCTTGGGGCTTGCTGTCTAGCCATCCTAAACTCCTTAAGGAACTCTGGACCAGCGAGAGTTCTGTCTCAAAATACAAGGTGGGGGGCTGGAGAGATGGCTCAGAGGTTAGGGGCATTGACTGCTCTTCCAGAGGTCTTGAGTTCAATTCCCAGCAACCACATGGTGGGTGGTTCACAACCATCTGTAATGAGATCTGGTGCCCTCTTCTGGCCTGCAGGCATACATGCAGACCAAATACTGTATACATAGTAAATAAATAAAATCATAAAAAAATAAAATAAAATACATGACGGACAGGGCCTGAGGGACAACACCAGGGTTACACCCAGGCCTTCACCTACATGTGTGCACACATGCATGTGCACCCATATGCACCTGTACCTGCACAAACACGAACATTCATACATACATACACACACAAATGGAAGACATAAAAATATTCATTTCTGTGAGGCTCAGTAATCATAAAATGGTATTTATTAACTGTAAGCAAAACAGAGGTAGCAGGAAAACATGCTTGTTTTGCACATGTGGTCCATTGAAAATGACCCCGCCCAGGTTCTGCCTTCCCTTGTCAGTCATACAAATCTGTATTCATTGTCAATATGTCACCAAGGAAGAAATAGCAACCTAGGAAGGATTTGCAGCTCCCACAGCCTGTCCCTGTGGGTAGGGCTGGGACTTGATCCCTCTACAGACTGCCAATGATGCTTCAGTCTTAGCCTATGGATCTGTCCCTCCAGAAGTACCCAACGCTTTGACATTGTGGCACAACACTGTCACTACTAATGTGTTGGGCCACATCTATAGCTACATGTGTCCCATGGGTCATGCATGGATGGACACACCTGAGTCTGACCTTCATGTTTTAGGAGCAGGAGGACCCCAACAAGCTGGCAACCAGCTGGCCCGACTACTACATTGAACGTATCAACTCCATGGCTGCGGTAAGTGTCTGTTCTATTCTTGCCTTGCCCCCACATAGGTGTAGGAAGGCAGTGATGCCCCCAACTCCAAACCACCTTTCCTGCCCTCCAGAGCCATGCTCCCTAAGGCTCAGCAGCTTTCCAGTAATTCTGAGATCTTCCACAATCCACCTCCTTGGTCATCAATGAGTTAACACATAGTAGCCCAGTTAGACATCACACATCTTGGGAAACAGCCTGGATCAGTAATTCCCTCTATTTCCTAGATATGGGAAATTAAGTCACAGGCCATAACCTGGTCCTCTCAGAGTCTGTTTATCGTAGTGGTGAAGCATCCTCTGAGCCCTTGCCCTTCCCAAAGCAAGGGTGCGCTCCCCAGGCAAGGCACCCTGGGAGTGCAGAAGCCTCCCGGGGGTGGGGGGGGGAGGCAAACAGCTCAGTTTGACTTCTACTCACTTTACCTGTGGGCCTCAGATGCAGAACCTATATGAATTTGATGAGGAGGAGACAGACACAAGGAACCAAGTTGTAGAAGACCTGAAGACAGCCCTTCGGACACAGCCCATGAGGTGACTTGGATTGTGCCCTCTCGATCACTTGCTTCTTTCTCTGCCCTTCCCAGTGGCTTTGTCATCTGAAGCCTTGCATGCTGCTCTGCTCCATGCTGGCCCTATGGGCCTGGGTTACACGCAGAGGTCCATAAGGTCCAATTCATCTTCTTTGCTTCCAGTTCCCATTTCTCTTGTGGGTTGCAGGGAGGGTGTGGCTAGGAGGGGAAATGCCGTGGGAAGCCTTGGGTCCCGAGACATTCTGAAAAGAAGAGGAATTGAGTGCAGGCGGTGTATGATAAAGGGCCTTCTGAGAAAGAGAGGGCACAATGACAGCTCAGAGAGGTAGGAGGAAGGCGTGGGTTGAGAAATCCTCCACACACTAGGGGGCAATGTGGAGTCTAAGGGTGTGCTCTAGCCATCTAGAGTAGGAGCCAAGCAGGAAAGAAAGTGCTTGGCCACGGAATACTTCTCCCCCCTCCTAGACCACAGTGGAGCTCCAGCAGCAGCCAAGAGCCACAAGAGTTTCTTGCTTTTGGCTTCTTCTCAGTAGTGTGCTTGAAGTGGCTTCTAACATCGGAGAAACCAACTATTAAATACTCAGCAATCTTGCGAATGAGTTATCAGACCTATTTGTGATTATATTTTAAATTATATCAACCACTGATTAAATAAGTGGTATTAAACATTATATTGGTATATACCACTAATTACCCAATTATTTTTCTACATTTTGCTGTAACATTTGGCCTTTCTATTAGGTATGTTCTTGAGCTTACTTTATGCCCATGATGCATAATGAAGATAGTATATAATCAAAAGTTCATTTTAATTCCCCTTAGTAAAATTCTGATTTTAAATATCACATGACATCATTGTAGAAATCATGTGCAATACGGAAAAGTATACAATCAGGGAAAAAAAATACATATTGCTAACTTCAATTGAGATCATACTCTGTTGATATTTACACAACATAAAATCCATAAGGACACATTTACATATTAATTATAAATAGTGGTTCTGAACTCAATTCATGGCCATTTTCTCAGATCCTTAATTATGCTACTAAATTAAAGTCTCTGCAATTTATTATTTTAATGCATTGCCATAGATGTGCCACAGACGCACAGATAAAAGCTAAAATCTTGCTTCCTGCAGTGATGGCTGTAAATAATGGCATAAAACACACAGAGTTGAAGAATAAACCAATTCAATTAAAGCAGCCTCACAAATATTAAAAAATGCGGGCGATAGCAATAAATGTGCCTTTGAATGCCAGAGTAGTGAGAGTTGGCAGTGGGAGTGTGGTTAGCATTGTAGCACTGAAGGACCAGCAGGTGAAAATGATATTCTTCAGGTGTCTGCAACAGCTCTAATTTGATGTGAAAGTAGCGCTGATTTATCTGTGGTGACAAAGTCTCGGATCCCGCTAGCAGTCCTGTGGTTGGTAGCCTAGTCGCCGTGAAGGGATGCTAGTTCTCTGTTAGAGGTTATCCAAGACGAAAGAAAGCGTGATTCTCTTTCCCCTGAGAGGTCTTGGGACTCTGAGGGAGTGCTTCCGGGAGGCTCTTTAGGGGAATACAGACTCCAGATTAAAGAGTGGCTGGGCCAAATGGCTGTGATGCTAAGCATGGAGGGAAGTGTTTTCTCAGGACCTCATGGAAAGAACTTTCCAGCCTTGGTCCCCTGACTCTGAGTCTAACGGCCTCCCCACGCTGAAGTGCGTTCTTGTCACCTGTCTATAAATGTCCCAAAGCCAGTCTGATTAGAGACCAGTCTTCAGGTTGACCCACTATAATGACTACCATCAAGGCTTCATCCATCCCTCCATCTTAGCTACGCAGATGACAGTCAGTGACAGGCAAATTTAGGGTGAGGCCAAGAACCAAGAAAAGCAACTGAAGGGAGGAAGGACTTTCAGAAGGTTCAGTCTATGGTCACTCGGCTTTGGCTCTGGCCTGTGCTAATGGAAACTCCATGGTTACAGGAGTGCATGCCCGAGGCTGGTCCCCTCACAGTGAGCAAGGAGGGAGAGAAAGAGTATGGGAGCAGGGCACTACATACCCTTGGAGTGACACGCTTCTTCCAGCTACCCCTGTAGGGTGTAAGGTTTTTCCTCCCGCTGCCTAGTCTTGTCCCGCCGCCGCGCCAGCCACAAATAACACACTGAGACTCTGTATTAGATATAATTCTGTTGGCCTGGTTACTTGTTTCTTATTGGCTAGCTCTGCCTTAATTATTAACCTATTTCTGATGATCTATATATTTCTCTTACTGGGGAGCCGGCCGGCACATTGCTTTCTCCTGACTCTCCATCTTGGCTCCTCCTTACTACTTCCTATTTCCTCCTTGTCTCCTAGTCCCTCCTATCTTCCTTTCCTATTGGCCAACAGTGCTTTATTATTAACCAGTATGAGAAACATATATACATAATGGCATCTCCCATCATACCCCCATCCCCTAAAGTTTCTAGAACCCCCAAAACTAGCTTGGCAGCTGGGGGGCTGAATTTCCAATACTTGGACCTTTCGGTGGGAATATTACCACAGTACACAGTATTTCAAATGAAAGTACAAGGGGAAACGACTCAGTGGGTGAAGTGCTTGCTGTACCAGCTCAAGGACCTGAGTTCAGATCACAGCACCCATTTCGAAGTCACACATCGGTAACCCCAGTGCTGAGAAGCAGAGGTAATTGATGCCTTGGAGCTTGCTGGCCAGCCAGTCTGAGAGGCCCTGTCTCAGAAAACAGGGCAGAGAACAACAGAGGAGGACACCTGTCATTAACATCTCACTCCACATGCAGAGCGTGCGTGCGCACGCGAGTGCACACACACACACACACCATAAAAATAAAATAAAACTAAAGTGCAGGTCCTTTGGGGGAGGCGGTCCCTGGAGGTCTAGACATACAGGGAGAGGGAAAAAAATCAACCTGGAGGAGGTGAGAAGGAAAAACTCAGTTCAGATGGACTTCGGTCAACCTAGATTAAAACTTCAAGAGACTCTGATGCCAAGAAGTTTATTCCCTACACATTTAAACAGAGTATAATTTGGGGGAGAAAAGTTTCCTAGTGTAAAACATCCTGATGCGTGAAGAATTGTAATTACATTGAAACTTAACTCAGGGCACATGTCATTTCCTCCAAGAAGATGGGTTCTGGAGATAGGCTACCTGTGCTTGTTTAGGGGCCTAGGGAACGGTCTGGCCTGGTCTCAGTTACACGGATCTTGTTGAGGTCATTTGGGCCACCAGTCACCTCTGGTGCTGGCTGTGGGAGCTTGGGGAGCTCCTGGCTGTGACGGTCATTTAGATGACTAGACACCTCTGGGCCTGGCTGTGAGAGTTTGATATGGAGTGACCCAACAGTTGAGAAGATCATCAGGCTGTCAGTCACCTCCAATCCCCCCCACACACACACAGCTTTCCAGAGGAAGGACATGTTTTACTTCCTTCCTTTAAGAGGGCAATCCTGTGTGCTTAACACTCCTGGTTTTCCTGGAGATCTGTGGGTACAAGGACCTTTGTGTTGTGTGCTCAACACTCTGGGACTGGAGAGATGCTCCGCAGTTAAGAGCACTTTCTGCTCTTCCAGAAGACCAAAGTTCTGTCCCCAGCACCCACATTGGATGGCTTACAACTGCCCTTAATTCCAAATCCAGGGATCCAGTGCCTCTTCTGGACTCTTTAGGCACCTACACACACACACACACACACACACACACACACACACAAACACAAGTAAAGATAAGTTTTTATTTAAAGAAATTTTGAACTGAGTCTTTTGAAAGGATGAAATTTTGGGCCTATGGAGAAACTCATAAATGAGCCAGGAGGCAGCTGTGGGTGGAGCATGGTGAACGGCACGTATTGAGTAGCTATTTGCAAAACGTGTGTGGAAGACAAAACTAGGAAGTTCCTTTTGGGCTTTGGATCAGGTTTGTGACCCGCTTCATCGAGCTGGAAGGCTTGACCTGTCTGCTGAATTTCCTCCGGAGCATGGATCACGCCACCTGTGAGAGCCGCATCCACACCTCTCTCATCGGCTGCATCAAGGCTCTGATGAACAACTCCCAGGGGCGGGCGCACGTCCTGGCACAGCCCGAGGCCATCAGTACCATTGCACAGAGCCTGCGCACAGAGAACAGCAAGACTAAGGTGGCAGTACTGGAAATCCTGGGCGCAGTGTGCCTTGTGCCTGGAGGCCACAAGAAGGTTCTCCAGGCCATGCTACACTACCAGGTGTATGCAGCTGAGCGCACTCGTTTCCAGGTGGGCAATGGGTTGGAGGGTTGGGCCATCAACTGGGGATGGGAGGGGTGACATGGGATAAGGTTGAGAGACTGAGAACCATGTAAAGGAACCTGAAGGGAAGGGACATCTTGTAGGCTGTGTCCACTCATGGAAGGAAGGAAGATCTAGGACCTAGAAGGCGTCTCTCAAAAGACATAAGAAATTGTGTGTTTGGAGCTGTGGTCTGGCTTTCAAAGTAGATTTGATTTGTCCTCTTACTAGACTGTGGGTCCCTGAGACTGAAATACAGGGTTACTTCATATTTTTGTGGCTCTAGCTATCTGAGATCAGCACCTGCCTCATGACAGGAGCCCAGGCAAGAATTGTCGAATTGAGTATAGTTGCTGGGGTGAAGATTTTAGGACTGGGTAAGTGCCAACCATGCAAGGACCAGCCTGGGAACTCAGGCCATGCTGGCTCCCTTCTTTTGTCTGATCTGAGCACAGTGCCTGGATTAAATCTCAGTCGTTGACCTGACATTGCAAATCCTATAGTTTATGAGCCAGGCTGTTGATCTGGCACCATATGTTTGCAGATGATCTATTATCCTGGGCAGAATGCTGCCCTTGGTCCTTTACAAAGGATGCTAAACGACTAAAAGTAGCATCCACGGAGTTGGAGGACTATGTAGGAATGGCCAGGGACCGACAATGGCTGGTGCAGAGTCAGAGAGCAGCAAGGGAACTCAAAGTCCTGAGGGCTGAGCAGGAAGCCTTGAGTGTGGAGAGCTGGGGTGGGCCCCATAAACTGGGGAGGCATGACCAGGCAGGGGAGTAGAACAGGGTTTTCTGATAGCATCCTGAATCTCCTTCCCAACTGTTCCTTTCTTCCATTAGACACTGCTGAATGAGCTGGATCGAAGTTTGGGTCGGTACCGGGATGAGGTAAACCTAAAGACAGCCATCATGTCCTTCATCAATGCTGTCCTCAACGCTGGGGCTGGAGAGGTGAGGCCCCCTCCTTTTACTCTTGGCCCTCAGGTTGTATGTGAGTTTGAGAGCTTTCTCGGCAAATGACCAGGAGTAGGATGGAGGCATCTGGTTGGTGTGACCACTGCTGCCATGGTCATCCTCAGATATCTTTAGAGTCTCTTGCTTTTCCCTCTTGGGGCCATGGGAGGACAGCTTGCGTGAGTCTACCTTCATTCCACCAAGGCCTCAGATGGTCTGGGACTCACAATCCATCTTATCAGTGGCGGTTCACTGTACTGTTGGAGACTGATCCTGACTTTGCTTCCCACACTATTCTTTGGAGTGTTGTCTAAGCCCCAGAAAGCTCTGGGTAGTTTCCTTTGGCAGTAGCATAGTGCATTGTGAGTCAGGCACAAATCCCCAATGAGGCTGGCAGGGGATGGCTCGATGGGTGGAACTTCTTCTTGAGAGAGAAACCTTTAGTCCTTCTTTCTAGAGAGACCCACTTTTGGAATGCTTTCCAGCTTAGCTAGTCATGTTCTAGGAGGGTTAGTAAAGGTGGCTGATGGTTCTCTTCTTTTGGGGACAGAATGGGATTCCCAGTCCCTTACGACAGGAATATTAGAAAAACCTGAAAACAGCTGAAGTCTTAGATTCTAAGGCAAGCAAATGTCCCAGCTGAGTTCAACCCAAAGGCTCAAAGGAGCCAAGAGAGCCATTAATGGTCTCTCTTCTTCCCTCCCTCTTGCCAGAATGCCTGTGTATACATGTGAGTGAGTGTGTGTGTGTGTGAGTGTGTGTGTGTATGTGCATGTGTGTGTATGTGAGTGTGTGTGTATGTCTGTGTGTGAGTATGTATGTGTATGTATGCGTGTGTGTGTGCATGTGTGTGTGTATGTGAGTGTGTGTGTGATTGTGTGTGTATGTGAGTGTGTGTATATGTGTATGTGTATGAGTGTGTGTATGTGAGTGTGTGTATGTGTGTGAGTGTGAGTGTATGTGAGTGTGTGTATGTCTGTGTAAGTGTGTATGTGTGTGCATGTATGCTTGTGTGCGCGTGTGTGTGCGTGTGTGTTCACGCACACACCGATGTCATTACCTGAATTATATCAGATACTCTAGGGAATAATCTAGTCCTAAAATGGTGACCATGTGACTTTTTGTCAGTACCTGCTTCTTAAGATTGTCATCTTCCCTGACCTATTGGTAGTTATACAGTGCCAAGAAAAATTTAATAACATGAATCGTCTCAGTTACTTCTGTTGCTGTGATGAGACACCATGACCAAGGAAAATTATAGAAGAAAAAGTTTATTGTGCTTACAGTTTCAGAAGGTTAGAGTCCGTGACCATCATGGTGGGCAGCTTGGCAACAGGCAGGCAGGCATGGCACAGGGACATTAGCTGAGAGCTTGCAAACTCATCAGCAAGTGGGAAGGAGAAAGAGACCTGACAGGGAATGTGTCTGAAGCCTCAAAGCCACTCCCAGTGACACACCCCAACAAGGCCACACCCCCCCGACCCTTCCCAAATAGTTTTACTAACCGGGAATAAACATCCAAATGTGTGAGCCTATAGAGGGCATTCTCTTTCAAAACAGCACATTCCATTCCTGGCCCCATAGGTTTATGGCCATATCATAGCAGAAAATGCATTTAGTGCAACTTCAAAAATCCCCATAGTCTTTCATTGTCTCAACATCGTTTAAAAGTCCAAAGTCTTTTCTGAGAATCAAGGGGTTCTCTTAATTTTTATCACCCCTGTAAAATCAAAAGGCAAACCACATTCTTCCATCATACAATGGCAAGAATACATGTTACCATTCCAAAACGGGGGAATGCGGCACGAGGAAATACTGAACCAAAGCAAGACCAAAAGCCAGCAGGGCAAACTCCAAACCCTGTAGTTCTATAGCAGATGTCAAAGGGACTAGATGGCTCTTCCCTGCAGCTTTACTGGCTGCGGCACACTTCTCCCTTTGGGCTGCAGCTGTCTTTGCAGACATCCCAAGACTCCGGCATGACCAACATCTCGGGGTCTTCAGTGCAATCTGAGCTTCTCTTTCACATTTCACGCAATGGCCTCTCTGGGTCTCCTTACAGGGACATTCCTCCCACACACCCAGCTTTAGTGGATTTCCTTAACTGGAGAGGAAGATTCCATAACCCCTTACGCTTCACATGGGGATGCTGCCAAGTTAGGCTGCCTGTTTGGAATGGAAGCTTTAGAAGTGCATTTGCATAAGGTTTGATTTGTCGGTGCATTTTAGGACCACAAACTGGTATGGTCGCACCCCGAAAAACACCACGTCTTTTATTCTATTTCTTTGTCTCTTTTTTTAGCACAAACCTTGGCCCCAACTTTAAATGTCCTGGTGCTCCTTTTTCCTCAAATTGTATATTTTGTATTTCCATTTGTTCCACTCTTTTTCATTGTAGACCTGCATAAGAGTGACCACTAATAACCACAAGAGAGTCAATTCTAAAACCTGTCTTAAAATCTCCTCTGCCAGTGGAATTGGTCCAAACTCTTCAATCCATCAGATCCCCCGGGCAAGGGGGAACAGTAGCCACATTCTTTGAGGAAAACATCACAAGGATGGTCTCTAAGCCAGTTGCTAATACTGTTCTTTTCTCCATGGTCCACACTGTTCACAGCACTATTGACTTCCAAGCGGCAACCAGCCTGGCCTGTTACAGAATCCAACCACTTTTCTAGAAAGTTCAAAGTCACACAGTCCGAAAACCATTATGGCCAGGCTTGTCAGAGCAATCGCCCACTCCCTGTCTTAGTTGCCCTTTTTATGCAATGATGAGATGCCTGACCAAGGAAACGGTTTGCTGGGGCTCACCCTGTCAGAGGGTAAGTCCGTGGCCATCGTGGTATGGAGCCCAGCATGAGGCAGGCAAGCATGGCCTTGGAGCAGAAGCCGAGAGCTCACTTATGTGTCACAACCACAAGGCAGAGCGTGCTAACTGGGAATGGTGCGGGATTTTGAAACCTCAAGTCCACCCCCAGTGACACACCTTCCCTAACAAGGCTACGCCCCCTACTTCTTCCCAAACAGTTCCACAACTGTGGACCGAGCGTCCAGGTATATGAGCCTATGGAGGTCGTTACACTCAAAGCACCGCACCCGTCCCACAGATAAATAATATTAAGTCAGCTTTACGAATGAGGAAGCAAAGGCATTTCCAAGGGCACACAACTAGAAAGCGGAACGTGGGAATAGCCAGTCCTCCTGCTCTGTTGTTTTACGGCACTACTCGTTGATACCGGAGGGCCAGCAAACACTGAGCGGGGAGGGGGGGTGTGAAAGGAAGAGAAGTGGGGGGTGTGGACAGGAGCTGGTCGGCAGGCTGGCTTTAGGGAGACAGCGAGGCTACAGGCAGTCTCTGGAAGTGGTTCTGGATGAATTTGCTGCACAACGTGACATGGGATTGTGGCTGACGTGGTGCGACAGAGTCTTTGGGTATTTCTCTTGGACATGAGATGAGCCACTGAGTCTGGTCTTCCCTTGGTGACCCTCAGGACAACCTAGAATTCCGCCTACATCTCCGGTATGAGTTCCTGATGCTGGGGATCCAGCCCGTGATAGATAAACTCCGACAACATGAGAACGCCATCCTGGACAAGTAAGGCATCAGCTACCCAGACCCACCATAAACCGTGGGGACGGCTCCTCTCGATGGGGGTGGCTAGGACCTTAGAGAAGGCTGTTCTTCCCCTGGGGACCAACTGCCACGGGAAGCCTAGGCTCAGCATCAGCGCTGTGTGGCAGGTGAACCCGTGCTGGCCTGCTTGTCCCCTCCCCGATGGTATAGACAGGTGAGTCCAGTGGCATCAGTCAAGGACAACCCTCTGGGAGACATTCATAATAGATAGGGGTACCCTTTGGTTTTCAACCTTGTCGCTGAGAGCACTGCTGATACTCTGAATTTTGGAGGAACAGGAATGCCAAATGTTCAGCTCTACAGAGAACTGCGCCACCCCAAATGCATGCTGTAAATACCCCGATGAGCAAAAGGCGTGGTCATGTCTTGTGTGTCACCAGTGAGCCGCACTGGCTCTATCTCACTTGTGTAAGCCACTTTATCGCACTGGGTGTTCTAGAAAAGAGCACACAGGGCAGGGAGGTAGCTCAGCAAGGATGAGCTCTTACTATGCTAGTGCAAGGAACTGAGTTGCATCACCCATGTAAAAGGCAGTTCTGGCTGCGTGGAGCCTGAAGCACCAGTACTGTGGGAGAGGAGACAGAAAGATGGCTGGGGCTTTGTAGCCACCAGCATCCTTGCTCCAGTTTCAGTGAGAGATGATCCTGGATCAAGGGAATAAGACGGAGAGAGACAGAAGGGACACCTGACCATTGGTCTCCAAAAGAACACATAATACATATGTGCATGTAGCACGTGCGTGCGCACACACACACACACACACACACACACACACACACACACACACACACACACACACACCCCAAGGTGAGGGAAAAGGAGGAGGGGAGAGAATTGATGGTTTAGATGTGGAAAGGGGCCAGTGTTTCTGTGGAAAATAAAGCAGAGATTTGCTTTGAGGACTAAATTGGAGATACTATGGTAACACTGGGAAGACGGATAGGAGACAGTGGTCCAGGAAAGTAGGCGATTTTATCCTCCAGGAGGTACCTAGCAATGCCTAGAGGTGCTTGGGGTTGGCAGCACTGGGAGCTAGCTTCTCTGTTTTTGAAACAGGGCTTCATGCTATAGTCCAGACTAGCCTGGAACTCAATGTATAGCTCAGATGGGTTTCAAATTTATGATCCTCCTGAGGGCTGGGATTGCATATCTGATCCATGATGGTTGGCTGGGGCGGAGAGGGGAGTCTACTGTCATCCTATGGGTAAAGGTCAGGGGTGAGACAAATAACCTGGAACATACAAAGCAGCTTCTTTCCATCACCAAGGACAACTGTACCTAACAAGTCAACAGTGTCCAAGCGGAGAAATGTGGATGTGTGGTGGCTGGACTGTGACACGACCACCCTGAAGAGAGACCATGACGTCTTATCAAGGAGATGGGGCTGGCTTATATTGTGCGGCCTCTTTGTGGTCTTGCCTTAGCCTCGCCTGAATAAAGTTTTCAGATAGTCAATGGGATATTGAAGGGTCTGGAACCCCGCACTGGGGATGTCCTGGCTTTATTAACACTTTCTCTGCATCCCTACCTACCCCCCACCTGTGTAGGCATTTAGACTTCTTTGAGATGGTCCGGAATGAGGATGACCTGGAGCTGGCCCGGAGGTTTGACATGGTGAGGAACCTGTATGGGGTCTCGGAAAGCCCCACGGCCATTCCAGATCCCGTGCTTGAAGTCAGCCCTGTGCTGGCTGTGTCCCCAGTGACCCTGTGACCAGATCCTGTTTCTGAAGGACCTCTGGCTGTGTGCTTCCTCTGGGGGCCCTAACTCATGAGCTAAACCTGGTCATCGGCCCCCAAGAGACCAAAAACACCAAAATAAGATAGCTAGCACGTGAACACACTTCTCATCAAATCTCGTGCCTTGCTGGCTTTTCCCTGCTGCTCCTAATTTCCAAAGTTGTGTCTTTCTGTCTCTGGGTCGATGGTGCTTAGTGAACCAAACCATTTCATCTGGGCCTCGGTGGCTCAAAATGCACACATCTCCATTGCTTACATGTTGTATCATACACTCCTACCTAAACAATAGCCTCGTTTGGGGCGGGGCTACGGGCAGTATACATCACTCACTGGCAGTATACATCACTCACTACACACCCACAAAGCCTGGGGTTGCAGAGAAGGGGTCAGAGAACAGAGAATTTAGCAAATTACTAGCCATCACATAACTAGAGTACATCCGTGGCTTGATCAGGCCACCTGCTACTTTGAAGCATCTGCTCCCCATTCCTTCCCTTAGTACGGCTCAGCTGTTGCTAGACAGGGTGGCTTCACTCCTGCCTCTCCATGAAGCATTGGTCAAGAGTAGATGTGTTTTGCATGTCACAGCTTGGGGAAGGAAGAGGGAGGAGACCATTGGGAGGAGACCATTGGCATCTAGGGGGCAATGGCTAGGGATAGCACTAAACATTCTTCAAGTCATGGGATGCCCCACCCCCGCACCAAAGGATTATCTGCCCCAAGATGCCTAGGGTGCTGAGACGGGGAAATGGGCTGTATGGTTCCTACCACCATCCCTGCTTTCATCCTTTGTTCCTGGATGATAGTCAGGAAAGGGGAACTCTCCCCGGAGATGGATGGAGCTTAGAGGACAGATGAAGTATCTTCCAACTCTTTCTTTCTCCCTCGACTGTCTGGCTCTGCCCTTCACTGTGGCCTAAACTCCCCAGGTCCACATCGACACAAAAAGTGCCTCCCAGATGTTTGAGCTGATCCACAAGAAACTGAAGCACACGGAGGCCTACCCCTGCCTACTGTCTGTACTGCATCACTGCCTGCAGATGCCATGTGAGTACCCTGCTCTTACCACTCTCCAGGTGGATGTGTGCTGGAGAGCATCCTGGACCTGCAGTCTGACACAATGCCCTCTGTGCTTGCCTTCAGGAGGCAGGCCCGGCGACTCAGGTTCCTCCCTCCTTGGGTTGCCTCATGTCACCCTTGGGTGGAGCTAAGTACAGGGTCAAAGCATCCCCAGCCTTGTAGTCCAACAAGCAGCATGGTGGGGACATTGAGTCTTCTTGTCATTTGCAAAAGGAATCATGCTTAGAGAAACAGACAGATCTGCAATGTTCAAGTTACTTTGCTTGCTTTGACTATAGTGTGTGATTGTGTATTGTGTGTGTATGCGTGTGTGAGTATATGGTTGTGCATGCATGTGTACACATGTGCATGTGTGTACGTGTGCATGTGTGCCAGAAGTCAATGTCAGGTGTCTCCTTCAGTCACTTCCCCCACCCCTTATGTTTTAGACAGGGTCTCTCACTGAAGCTGAAGACCACAGATTCAGCTAGTCGGGCTGGCCAAGTGAGCCCCGGGGCTCCTCCCACCTCTGCCTCCCCAGACCCTAGGGTTTCCTTTCTTTTATTATTTTAAATTTTTATTCATTTTACATGCCAACTACAGTTATCCCTCCCCTCCTCCCGCTCTCCTCCCCACCTTCCCCCCTACCCCATCCTTCATCCCCCATATACTCCTTAGAAAGGGAAAAGCCTCTCACTGGGAGTCCACAAAGCCTGGCACATCCAGTTGAGGCAGGGCCAAGCTCCTCCCCACTGCATCAAGGCTGCATGAGGCATCCCACCATAGGGACTGAGCTCCAAAAAGCCAGCTCATGAACCAAGGATAGCTCCTGGTCCCACTGCCAGGGGCCCCACGAACAGACCAAACCATAGCTGTTGGTGCAGAGTCCATGAGCTCCCATGATGGGGAAGAGACTTGGGTCCTAATGAATGTGGGGCCAGCACTTTACCAGTTTGGATCATCTCTCCAGCCTCATGTTCACTTTGCTTTTAAGTTTTATCATTCTTGCTTACTCTCACCCTCTTTATAGACAACAAATGGCATCTTGGGAGCAGGTGGCCGAGTTCTGAAAATCCATGTGTTTCTGGGTAATAGTATGAGAATAAATTATTCAAGATGAGTACATCATTGCCCCAGAATGTAATAGAAAATGAGCCTCAGCTGTACCCGGCTTTCCAAAAATAGATTATTTTGAAAATCTGTTTGGTCCTCTGTAACTCTCAACCTAATCAGGATCACCAAAGTCATGGAGGTGGTGACAGCTACAGCTTGGGGCATGGCTGGTAGGAGGTTCTCAGCACATTGTTCCCGAACCTCAGGATAACCTGTCTACTATCACTTTTGAGTGAGTTCTTCCCATAGAGGGTCGTTTCTCTTGGTTTGGAGTCAGGCTTTAGATGAAGCGTGTAGCTGTGAGCTGCTTTTACACTGCATTCCAACAGCAAACTGGCAAGCCAGCAGCATGGTGTGGGTAGAATGGTGAGGACATAGATAAAGACAATGAGCTGAACCAGGAAGCCCAGTGCTCCAGACTCCACCCAGGGGCTGAACAAATGCCTGCAATTAAAGACACTTGTTTCTTGAGTTCAGGTTTCCAGAACACGTGTTTGGTGTCTCACAAATCCTTTTAACTCCATCTCCAGGGGATCTGACAACTTCTTCTGGTCTTTGGGAACACACAGAGATATACATAATGCACACACACACACACACACACACACACACACACACACACACACACACACACAATTTTTTTTAATCCCAAATTTAGCCCAGATCTTTATGGAAGTTGATAGAATCTGATTTCCTCCGCTCCCAGAGGCTCCCTGTTTGGTGGTCCATAGCAATGTGAATAGGCCCCTCTCTTCTGTTTCTAAGTGCGGTTTTGTAGACACAAGTGTCTGGATTGGAGGCAGAATTTGATGTCGGGATTAAAGTAATTTTTCCTAGTGGCTGTTAAAGATGAAGTGTAAAAAGGAAGTGAACATCCAGGTGGATTGTCATCAACGGGGATGAGAAGACAGGACACCTTTCCTTCATAGTTCAAGGTCATCTCCACCAAGAAGCCTCCCTGGGCTCCATGCGGCCCTTCTTTAATTCACTCTGATGCCTGGATCAGCTTCTGTTCATCTTTTTCTGTAAAGTCAAACAAAGATAATCACAAAGTCTCCCTGGGGACTTCATTATTGAGCATGTAATATTTTCAAACAGGTACTTTTATAGACAGTAGAAAAAGCCATTCACATGCCCAGAGCACAGTACACCCAGGACCCCCAGGACACAGTATGCCCAGGGTCTCAACAGGAAAGAAGAAGCATTCTGCACTGTAGAAATATGTTAAGAGGGTTGACCAGGCCATGGAAGGTCATCCACAGATAATGAGGAGCTGACTGGGTTGCGAATCTCCATAATTGGTGGCAGCCCTGTCTCTTCCATCAGACCAAGAGCTTTCTGAGAGGGGGAAGGGCTTGCCTTGCTGGCCTGGGCCTAGGCAGTCACACCAGAACAAGGACTCCAGGGGTTCCCGTGCTCAGGACAGATACAATGTCTTCTGTCCCTCAGACAAGCGGAATGGTGGCTTCTTCCAGCAATGGCAGCTCCTGGACCGAATCCTTCAGCAGATTGTCCTCCAGGATGAGCAAGGCGTGGACCCTGACCTGGCACCACTGGAAAACTTCAATGTCAAGAACATTGTCAACATGTGAGTCACAGATGGCCTCTGCCAGTCCTACTTTTCTCCCTCTGAGCTTGCCTAGCAAAACTTTGCTACCTCTCTAGCCCACAGGAGATGCCGGAAAGTCTGTTCCATCGCATATGAAAGACCCTACCCAGTGCCACAGCTGGGTTGGTTACTTTTCTTGTTTGTATGCAAAATACTTGGACAATGAAGAGGAAGGAAGGGATGGAAGAAAGAAAGGAGGGAAAAAAAGGAAGGGAAGGAGGGAGGGAGAGAGGGGGAAGAAAGGGAGAAAGGAAGGAAGGAGGCAGGCTGGGTTTCTTTTGGCTCATAGCTGAGTGTATTATCATCACCTGGGTGCAGGATCTTGAGGCTGCTGAGATTAGGGTGCAGAGACAGCTGGCTTTCTCTTCTTCATGTGGGCATATATGGCCAGCACAATTGAGAGGCTGGATTCTTTATTTTGTCTCATTTCAATGTGAATAGCCACGTCATGAGCCTATTGATAACTGTGCTAGACAGTATGAATATGTGCTATGCTCTCAACTCTCTGTTCTCCATGGTCCATTGCAGGGCTTAGAGAGTGGCTAAGAGCATTTATGAAGAGCACCGGCCTGTAGACTAGAAGTCATGAGCCAGCTCAGGCCTCCAGTTAGAGCTGAGAATTTTTTTTCCCTTTATCTATTTATTTTTGTTTTGGAGAGTGTGGATATGTGTCATGCGCACATACATGTACATGCATGCACACGTAGGATATGCATGTGAACGCCATCCTCAGGTACATTGTCCATCTCCTTTGAGATGGGGTCTCTTGTTGGCGCTGACTCTTCACGGAAGGTTTGGAGGCCTCTGACATGGGGCATGGACCTTTGAACATAAACCTATTATATGAGGTTGTCAGAGCCCTAGGCCTTTTACAGAGTGTATAGGACACACAGAAACCACTTATGTTTACAGTAGTGAGCTAACAAGACCTACTTTAATACCCTGGTTTTTTACTTAAATTTTTATTTAACTTTGATATGAGTTTGAGTTCGTCTTCCTTCAGGGGACAAAATGCCTTCCTGATTTTGCATTCCAAAGCCAAATGCAAAGTGGATTTTAAATGATTCTCATTTTATTTGTTCAAATGATCAAGTGTTGATTTCATTCAACCCCTAAATGGCTTGTTGCTCAAGCACAGCTAGTAAAATAATCACAAGGTGATGCCTCAAGACCAGTGAAGCCTCTGTGTCTTCTTGGGCTGCAGTGGGCTTCTTTCAGACCACTTTAGGTTGCTGCAGATAGAAGGGTTGACCCCAAGTGTGAGCCAGTATATGAGACCTGATTTAGCCTCAAATGTCCCTCCTCTGAGGCCCCAGAGGTCAGACTAGGAATGGGGGTGGTGGCATTGATGCATAGATGGATATGTGGGTGTGCCTGTGCATGTGTGTGCATGACTGGCTTTTTCTCTTCTTGTCTCTGTTCCGGTTCTCTTTGGAGCCTTTCTGTGCCCCAGATCTACTAGCCAACACAGTTTCTGACACCCTTCATGTTGCATCTGGGGGCAGGAGGCAGGAGGAAGGAACGGGAAAGGTATTAATGGATGGGCTGTGTAGTAACAGGCCTCTGCTCTCTGGCTCTGCACATGAGTACAATGGAACCTTCTAGAATTCCTTGCTAAGAGCCTTTCCCAACTCATGGACCATGCAAGAGGTCCCCGACCCCATCTGGATGTCTGCGTTTGGCCCTCCTATCAACTATTGATTTTCCATCAGGCCAGCACATACTGGCCTCGAGTTTGATGTTTCCAGTTATCTCACAAATGGTCCTCTGGGATTCATAGACAGATGACATTAGCCCAGATCAACCACAAGGGCCCCAACTGGTATCTGCTTCGCTCACACAGGCTGTGTCAGCAGGTCGCAGCAGAGCCACTTTGTCTGGGTTGATTAACCCTTCTTTACCATCTCCATTTGCCTGGCCCCAAGTAGAACCCAGTCTACCCTGCACCCTTACCCAAGTCAGGGAACACAAGTGAGACTCTGTCCATGCCCAGGGAACACTCTTTGGGTGTTAAAGGATGTAGGACCTCAAAGGCATCTGTAGTTGCCCTCCAAAGAAATCTCACCATGGACCGGCAAGATTGTTCACCATGTGTAGGCGCTTGCTGCCAAGGCTGATGACCTGAGTCCAATCCCCGAAACCCACACGCTGAAGGAGAGAATAAACCCTCAAGGTTATCCTCCCTGATTCCATACCTGGTGGCATGGAGTAGATAAATAAACAGATGTAAAATGTAATAATTACTGGGCTGTCGTGATGGGGTTTAGTCTCTCATAAATTTAGGGTCTGAGGAAACGCTAATTTTAACACCTATTGGAAGTTTGCTGTGAATGATACTGTCCTGCGACTCAGATGCCCTCACGATCATATGCCCTCACTCCTCTGCTGTCAGTGGACGTCTTCCCACGCCCTTACATTAGGCTGATATGATATTTCTGGCTCTTAGATGCACTGTTCTACTCTTACAAAGGTAAAGGGGTGTGTGTGTGTGTGTGTGTGTGTGTGTGTGTGTGTGTGTGTACTGTAGATAGCCTGGGTTCAGTCCTCTATCTAGTACTACTTCTCAATCACACTGGGAGTTGGATTGGAAGAGAACCCGAGGTCCTTGCCATTCTCATGATCCATGAGGACGCCGCCGCAGAGTGAGAATGGACAGGGATGGAGACCTGGAGAGGCATGTGAGAAGCCTGTGTGTGCACAGAGCAGAGCTCAGGCTCTGTCTCTGGGGAATAGAGATGCCCGTCTTCCAGGAGGAGGTGAGCTTATGTCAAAGTCACGTGGCCCTTCCCACTTCTCCTCAGGCTCATCAATGAGAACGAAGTGACGCAGTGGCGGGAGCAGGCAGAGAAGTTCCGGAAGGGTGAGAGGGTCCTCCGCCTGAACCGCTCCCTACACCCTCTTCCCACCCTGCTGGGACCCATCCCCTTCCTCATACCTGCGCCCCCCTCTCCTCTCGCCCCCTTCAGAACACATGGAGCTCGTGAGCCGGCTGGAGAGAAAGGAGCGAGAATGCGAGACGAAGACGCTGGAGAAGGAAGAGATGATGAGGACCCTGAACAAGATGAAGGACAAGCTGGCCCGGGAGTCCCAGGAACTTCGCCAAGCGAGGGGACAAGTGGCGGAATTGGTAGCCCAACTCAATGAACTCTCAGTACGAGTACTCGGGCATCACCCGCTCCCACTAATGTAGTTCAGCCAGCACCCCGATTTCAGGTTGGAGTGGGCAGGGCAGGGGTGAGGAGAAGGCAGGAACCCCAAGGTGAGGGAGAAGAGAAGGAGGCCTTGAGTCCCTACCCAAGTAGCCCTTAGTGAACGGGTGAGCCCTTTATGTTAGCACATTAGAAAAAGATGACCCTTCTCTAGATGAGATGGCACTGTTCCCAGATTGTACCCTAAACAAGGGACTGCAGGTAAAATTCCTGCCCCTTCCTTTTGACTGGGCATCTGTGTGCAGTGAGTAGCTTGCACCACTGCAGGCATGCATCCAGATGTTTCATTTCGATTGTTGGGACTCTGGTTGTCTAGTGTCTGTGAGGACGTTTAACTTTCTGTGTGTGTGTGTTTGTGTGTTTTCACACGTGTGTGTATTTTTGTGTGTCTGTATCTATGTGTGAGCATGTGCACATATGTGTCTGTCTCTGTGTGTGTGTGTGTGTGTGTGTTGCTGTTTGAGATGCAGACAGAGAAAAACCGTGTCTAAATGATCGCGAAGGATTGAAGGAGGTTTGGTGAGGCAGAAATGGGGATGGATGGAGACGCGTTAGCGTGTGCGGATGGGCTCACCATCCTGCCTTTTTTGTCTTCCCACAGACCGGCCCGGTGTCTCCCCCGCCGCCCCCTGGAGGCCCACTCCCCTTGTCTGCCTCCACAACAACCAATGATCTGCCTCCACCCCCACCCCCCCTCCCCTTTGCTTCCTGCCCACCCCCACCGCCACCGCCCCTCCCTCCAGGAGGGCCCCCTACCCCCCCAGGTGCTCCACCCTGCTTCAGTTCAGGCCCGCCCCTGCCTCAGGACCCCTTCCCCAGCAACGATGCCCCACTCAGGAAAAAGCGCATCCCCCAGCCTTCACACCCACTGAAGTCCTTCAACTGGGTCAAGCTGAACGAGGTGAGTGGCTAAGGGCCATAACCTGCACCTTGCACTTTGCACAAGTCATCTTGAGACTGTGTTTGGTCAGGCATCAGGGTGGGCTCGGAGGGCACTGATGATGGAATTCCTGGAGTCAGGTGGCTCCTTGTCCCCTCTGAACACCAACACTGGGGGAAAAGCTTGGTGCAGACCTTGTGCTTACTGCCACAGCCGCTTGCCAACGAGCCCGTGTGTGCCAGAGAAGCAGGCATTGGAACTAGGACAGTGCTTCAGTGGGCAAGAATACTTTCTCTGCAAACACACGGGGCTGAGTTTGAACCCACCATCCACATAGAAAGCTAGTTGTGGCTGTATATGCCTTTCATGCCAGTGCTGGGAGACAGAGACAAGGAGCTTGTAAGACAGCTGGCCTAGCCGAAGTGACAAGCTTTCGGCTTAGTGAGAGGCGCTGTCTGAAGGAATGAGGCAGAGATGATGAAGGAAAACATGGCCTCGCCTCCCGAGAGCCTTGGGTCTGACTGATTAGGATATGTAAAGCATGAAGTACTTACAGGTCTGGAAGATGGGCTGAGAGATGGCTCAATCGTAACTGATCCCAGCGTGACTCTGTGCCACGGGCGCAAATCACTTTCCTGGTCTGTTACCGCAGTTTGATTGTCCATTGTGGTCTCTAAGATCCTTCTACTTCTGGTTTCCCAGTCTGGGTGGAAATGTGGAGTGTAAATCCAGCCCCCCCAACCTCCTGAGTCACTAAAGCATTCAAACCGCCCATGACAGCATTTCACAGCTAGGTCTGTAAAGCCCCAAGCTTCTCTAGGCAGCAGTTGTGACCTTTGCATGCTGCTTTGTGAGAAAGCCACAGGCAGGGTCATCAATAGCTTCTGATAGTGTCATGGTACTGACCTTTGGACTTGGGATTTTCCTCTGTGGTCCAGTATTAATAAAGGCTACACGATTCCCTAGGGACCCAGAGCCCGGTCGTGTATCCTTCCTAGATCCATGCAGTGGAAATACACTGCGTGATATTTGAGAGCCTGCTAGTCAATCCCAAGCTTTCAGTCCTGTGACAGGGCAGAGGATGGAATTATTTGGCCTTCAGCTTCCCATCTGTAAGCTGGGGAGAGGGTATCACCACAACGCCCTCCAAAGGATGGCTGTGAAGGCTGGCTGATAAACTATTGAGGAAGCACCCTGACACAGATAGTCTCCACAATGTGAGGTCAGTTATTATTCGTGGTGTCCTCTCCGTCTGCCACCATGACTCTCAGCTGTGCTTCCCTGAGACTCAGTTTCTTTCCCATTTGGGCTATGGAAATAATATCCTTCCATTTGCCCATGGGTCACATAATAGCAGGGCCAGAAATGTCAGCCAGTGGGTCTTTGGGGCCCCAAAGTTAGTGCTCTGTGGGGGAAACCTCATGAAGCAAGTCCTGGGACGTCTGTGGACAGATCCAGAGGCCAGAAGTCCCAGGAATCTAGGTTACAGATGGTGGATATGCCAGGGAGATGTGGTGGGGTTATCTTGTGATGGTTATGAGAGAGGGCCCTACCCCTCTCCGCTCCAGACCCCAGGACGAAGGCCTGAGAGCCCCGGGAGATGTGGGGAACAGGGTGTTTGAGAAGCTGTGAGTGTTGAGGTCACTGGTTTGTCATGTTGAATGCCGGCCCCCTCTGTCCTTGCTCTGAGTGCCACGAAGGACTGGAAGCTTTGCTGTCATGGGCCTGCCCTTCCCCATCCCTGAACGAAAGACACTGGGTTCCCAGATCCCCCATTGCATCACTCGGCTTGTCTCCCTGCCTTCCTGACTCAGTTCCCCATCCCATCCCCTCTCCCTTCCCCCACATCTTCTTTTCCAGGAGCCCAGTTTCTTTCTCTATCCTACATATGCTCTTAAACGCGTATGTGCCTGCACGTGTGTGCGCGCGCACACACACACACACACTGGTTGTTTCCACCATGAAAAGAATGTGTCTGTGTTGGCTTTGGCCAGTTGCCTGTATCGCTTGCTTCTGTGAGCTTCCCAGCCCAGCATTCCACATAAGGGTCCCTGGCCTTCGGAAGGCCGCAGGAATGTCTCCTCCCTCTTGACTCTGGCCTAGCCTCCCCTTTTCAGAGTTTAAGAAAATAAAAGTGAGGGAAAGGTATACTGTCTCTAATCTGAGGAGGAGATTTAGTAAGGGGTGTTAGGATGGTTGCCTGACCGGCCTCTAGACAGATGAAAGTAGACGACAGGGTGATCGCTGTCACAAAGTTGACTAATGCTGTAAATGAGACAAGGGTTCTTGGAGGAGGGGTTGATAATGAGGGATGCTCCCCTATTTCATGCTTGTCCTTCATGACCCTGCCCCCTGGACCATCAACACGATGTTGCAAGGTTGCTGGTGCAGTTTGGGCTCTATAGACTCCAGCACGAGGGTCCAAAACCATGGGACACTGCCTCAATCAGGGGAGCTGGGAAGTATAAGTCTATGGGTCCATTGCAATCCTAAAAGATGGGGCACTTTCCCTGGCTCTGAGCAACAGGAAGTTGAGGCAAGCTTTGCTGAACTGAGCCATCACTACAGGGGGCAGCAGGTCCCAGCTTTGGCATGGGTCCACTTGCTGGAAATCTGGGAAAGTAGGAACGAAAATCCTGGGAAAGAAAATGACCATCTGAGATCCAGGGCGTGCACTCTAGGCTCAGGCCCAGACAATCCCATATATGCCGAGTAGCAATGCTTCCAGAGAGAGCAGGCCTGCACGGTGCCCTCAGAGCACGGCCTTTGGTTGTGTCTTTCTGAAAGAAGCCTGGAGGCCACACTCCAGTGCTGGCAGTGGTTTCTGAGACACTTCCATGGCCCTCCCATGGAAGGAAGGCACAAAGAGGCGGTTGTCTTCTAGAATTGTTGAAGAAGTGGGGGGATGGAGAAGGGTGGGTATTACTGGACCCCTTTCTGGAAGTCTGAGAGCCTCTGGTCAGCCTTTGGGGACAGGTGGGGCGAGGGAAGTGTTGGCATCTCTGTCACGGAGGGGCCGGGTCACCCATGGGTTACCCTGAATTTTAGGAGCGTGTCTCTGGTACCGTGTGGAAGGAAATCGATGACATGCGGGTATTTCGGATTCTGGACCTGGAAGATTTTGAAAAGATGTTCTCGGCATATCAGAGGCACCAGGTGAGACCATACTCTCTGATCTCTTGGGTCTTGGCTTCCGGTCCACACGCCCGTGCATGCCCCTTGTATTCAAACCCTGCCCTTTCTCTCAACTTTCCTTTTTCCCTGTCTGTCTTCCTTCATTTTCCTTCCTCATGGGTATGCTGAATGACTTTATTGCTACTAAGTTTCCATGTTCCTGCCCAGGGCATAGAGATAAATAAGTTGCACAGTCTGGTGAGGAATCAACACAGCCTGTTCTAGGGATGGAATGGTACTTTTCACTCATTGGAAGTGGACTCCCAAACTTGGCCTCTGCTGAGCCCTGTTCTGTCTGGTTTGGGGATTATAGACTATGCTTAGCGGCTACTGTAGCTTTCAGCCCACTGTTACCCACATTCCCCTCTCTCTCTCTCCCTCTCTATCTCTCTCTCCCTCCCTCTCTCTCTCTCTCTCTCTCTCTGTGTCTCTATCTCTTCCTCCCTCCCTCCCTCCCTCTCTCTCTCTCTCTCTCTCTCTCTCTCTCTCTCTCTCTCACACACACACACACACACACACACACACACCCCTACAGAGAAGTTAAGGCTGTAGAGACGGTGATAGATTCTGCTCTATGCCACTTCCAAGGATGGAGACTGGGGCCGGAAGGCCTGCTCTGCTCTGCTCTGCTCTGCTCTGCTCTGCTCTGCTCTGCTCTGCTCTGCTCTGCTCTGCTCTGCTCCGTATGCATGGCCAGCCCTCTAGCCACAGAGACTGGAAGGGGGCTGGCTCGTGGCCAGATACAGGTATAAAATGATGAGCACTTGTAGGGACCAATTGCCGGGCCTTATCCTCCGAGCCTGAGTGGCTCTGAAGATAGGTGGGGCTCTGGGATCTGAGTGCAGCTGTCACTGTGAGGGCTTCTCCCAGGTCCACTCGGTGAAGAATGGCTGAGGGGCTCTATGGCCCTTGACTCCTCCATGTGTCTTCTAAGAGGTTTGCACGTTCATCCCTTCATTCATCTCTGCTTGGCCCAGGACTCCGGCCTTGAGGATTCTGGTATCCTCAGGAGCCCTGAGCCATGGTTGGTTGCTAGATACTGTGGCCTGCCTCTGGCAGTATTCAGAGGGTGCTCTACTTTGTCATTTGCCAAGTCTAGACTCTGGAGATGCTTCTTCATAGGGCAGTGAGGGTCGCAATCTCATGGCGAGCCAAAGGAGTGGTGTGGAGTTGACACTCTGGCCCGTCTTGGGGTTCCAGAGAAAACAAATGACTATTTATTTGATTGAAGTGTGGGTGTCTGTGACATCTGATCCTCTACTCTTTAATTCCAAGCAGTGTTTTAGCCATGCTGTGATTAAGCTGGCATGGTCAGGGCAGGGATCAAGACTGCAAGGAAGAGTTATATGAACACCTGTGCCCTGCATAGGATGGGGGTGGGCACATGGATGTATCAGACACAGCAAGCCCATGCCTCCCTTCATTTGTAATGGGATTCTAGACTGGCCTCTCCGGACTCCAAGGCCCTGAGCTGGGATGGGAGGCAGTCAGGAGAGAGTTCATATGGGGTTAAGGCCTCCCCACTTCTCCAGAAGGGTCACATCGAGACCGCCCATTCCATGCCTCTGGGCACACTCCCTCACAGCTCATCTGGGCCTCATTCACTTCAGCATCCAGGACTGAAGTCAAGCTGAGAGGCCGAAGTGACCTGGTTACCTACTGCCTCCCTGTGTCTTAGGTCCCCAAACCTTGAGCCGTGGGGCAGAGAAGGGCCCCAGTCCTCTCTGTGTCCTTGGTAGATTCTGGCTTTACCTCCACCCATGCCAGGAAGAAAGACACAGGACAAGCTCTGCTCCTCGGTCCCTTAGACATCAGAACGGCAAAGGGAAGGGACAAATTCAAGGCTGCCTGGTTTCCCTGCCCCATGACTTTCCACTAGCTTCTTGGTTCAGATTCATGTTCTGAAAAAGAGGAACTCCCCTAGGTGGAGGGGCACCCTCTTGTCCTTCTCAGCAGGTGCTCGGCAGGGGCAAAGAAAGAACTAGTGGTCAAAGCCTGGGGACTATTTGGCTCAACTGAGATCTTTCCTGGTCCCAAAGTGGTGGCCTGCTTGGTGTTTGCTTGCCCAGCTTCTCTGAGCGCATGCCTGCCTTGAGCTGCTGCCCAGGCCGGGACTGTCTCTGGGTTCCTGTCTCCTGTTCCTCGGGATGCAGTGGACAGACTAGGTACCAAGGATGCTCACGTTTATCTTGGTGTTCCTGAGTCCCCGGCCTCTTGACTAACAGTGTGCATGTTTACTTCTCTGATGGCTGAGGCTGCTGCCTGCCTAGGAGCTGATAACTAATATGATCTTCAGCAGGTATGTCGGTCTCGGTGCTCTGGACATTCTCTCTAACCCACTGTCCTGGGCTGCAGCCCGGCACTGGGTCCACGAATGAAGGCTTGCCTGAACTGCCTCCAGCCTTTATTACTCATCCATGTAGGGTGGCATGCAGGAGGGTCCCCAGAGAGAGAGAGGCAATGTGAGAAATCGGGGGACTGCAAGCAGACCTCTGCCAGCCGCGGAGGCGAATGTCCACAGAACGGAGAACGCTTCTAGCTCTATTGCCTCACCTACCAGTCCCAAGGCAAGGCTTTCCAGCATGACTACACATGTTGGGCACTGCACAACTCTAGAGGGAAAATCCACAATAATGGCGTGCCTGGCAGGCCCTGGAGTTGTGTGCCTTGGAACATGTGCTCTGCAAAAGTCCCTACAGCCATACCTGTGTGTTAAATAGGCTCCCGAGTCCCTGGTTGGGGAGGTTCACTAGCAGGATGCTTGGGAGCTTTGACTGTGCCTACTAGCATCCCAGAAGTGAATTCAGTAGTGATTCTGCCTCTGTTTTCCCATATGACTTTATAAAACCCTTTAGTCCTGGCATATTGAGATAGGCTGGAAGTCTCCAGGAGTTAGAAACTATAGCCTTATGGGTGCTAGGATCAGCTTCTCATTATGAGCTTAGGGAGGCTCTGGGCAGGTGTGAGTGTATGATAGGCAACACCATATTGCCTGAAGCCACAGAGATCAATTACAGCTTCTGTTTGCACAGCTCCTTTATCGGGCTTCCAAGAGAGGCTGAGTTATAAGAGGGGTGACCCTTTGCTACCCTCCACCCTTCCTAGCCCAGGCCAGTCCTAGATCCTCTCCTAAGAGTTGGTGGTTAAACACCCTACCTCTCCCGTCTGCTCTCTCTCTATTTCCACTGGGTCAGGGGCATCCCCACATTGAAAGAAGAGTGGGTGGGTCTGGGAGGTGGACAAGGAGATTGGGAGCAACTCCTCAGCACCCCCTGCTTAACTCATCGTTTGCAGAAGGAACTGGGCTCCACGGAGGACATCTACCTGGCCTCCCGCAAAGTCAAAGAGCTGTCAGTCATCGATGGCCGGAGGGCCCAGAACTGTATCATCCTTCTCTCCAAGTAGGTACTGGCCTGTAGCAGGGAACGGCACCCCAAGGAGAAGCCTGAAATGGGTGGTAAAGGCACTGAGATTGGGATAACTCCATGGTAGAGTGCTTGCCTGACTGCCCAGCATGCACCAGGCCCTGGGGTCACCCAGAGCACTGCAAATCAACAAACATGACGGTGGAGCTGCAGGCCCACAAACGGTGGCAGAGGAAAGGTGGTGGGTGAGGCTGGCCTTGCCTCTCTGGCTTCCCCAGAGGGGCGGGGAAGGATGCTGGTGTAGACCACTATCCTGCAAGCCCATGCTCTTCAGACAGGCGACTGTCTGGTCCCTGTCAGCCCATGGAGGGCCCACTCAGCTTAGGCCTGGGAGCTGTATGATGTCAGCCTGCAAGCATTTCCCTGGGCTTTGGAACAAACAAGCAGTATCTGTATTAACAGCGCAGCTTCTGTGTGGGGGCCTCCCCCAGGCAGGGTCAGGGGCACCGCCCCAAGCTCTATTCTTAGTGCTGCCCACGGCCTCCTCTGGGACATCTGCCCCCTCTGCCCTCCCACAAGCTCTGTGGCTGGAGTTTCTGCCACTGAGTGGTGGAGGAGTGCTGGTTCCCCAGGGTGCTCAGTGGGTGTGTGCGGGGAGGGGTGGGGAAGGGCTGCGTGGGTGGTGAGGAGGGGCTCTTGGAAGACTGATGGGAGCTGGATGGGAACTGGGCACCGTCAGAGACACGAGAGCCAGGCTGTTCTCCCAGAGTTCTGTGTCACCCTGCTCTGTCCTCCCATGGAGATGCTGGAGATGTGTGAGGCAGGCAGGGGGAGGGGTGGAGTGGGAGAAGGGAGAAGTCCTGTCAGAGCGCCTCTGCCTGTCCATCCTAATCCCACGTGACTCATCAGCTCTGGCAAAGCCCAAGCAAGGCATCAGGGACTCGGCCTTCAGTGAGAACTAAAACACCCATTACTGGAAATATGGAGTGCATCGGATTTCCTCTTTACTAAAATTAGGAGGGAGGGGGAAGGGGAGGGGGAGGGGGAGGGGGGAAGTTCACATTGGGGCTGATGAGAAGGTGATGGCCAGGCCAGGCTGCTCAGGGCAGGTTTGTTGCAGGTTGAAGCTTTCAAATGAGGAGATACGACAGGCCATCCTAAGGATGGATGAGCAAGAAGATCTTGCTAAAGACATGCTGGAGCAGGTGAGGACCCTCAGGGAGGGGAGGAGCCCAGCTTGGGGGAAGCCATACCACTTTCTCCCCAACCCCAGAAAGAGTAAAACCCTTAGGTCGAAGAGGCATGGAGCTGGAAGCACTGAGGTTTCCAGAAACTTCCCTGGACTAGGCTTTTCTTTAAAATAAGCTGCCAGAGAACTTGGTGGCCCCCACAAGGTCTCTAGGACGAGTCAGGTGTCAATGGTCATTTCCTCCTCTGTAAGAAGGATCTGGAAGTAGCAGACAGGCATGCCACCATTGGACACCATTAAAATGAAGAGTACAGTTGTCAAGCATGTATGCCATCCTGGGTTCCATCCCAAGACTGATGGGTGGCACACATCTGTAATCCCAGAAATGGGTTCAAGGCCAGCCTGGGCTTCATGAGACTGTCTCCAAAGAGGAATGGGTCTGCTGGAGAGATGGCTCAGCAGTTAAGGGCACTCTCTGCCCTTGCAGAGGACCCAGGTTAATTTTCTAGCCCCCATATTCTGGCTCAGAACCACGCATAACTCTAGTTTCAGGGGCTCTGTGGGCACCAGATACACATGTGGGATACAGGCATACATGCAGACAAAACATCCATGCACCTAAATTTCAAATAAAAAGAAAAAGCGTGAGCGTCAACCCGAAGACACGCATTTTTCCTCGGGTAATAACAGGACCAAAGTGCTGACTGGTTTTTAAGTGGACATACAAGGACATCGCACACATGGCATGCAGTTGTAGTAAGGAACCCTACCGATGAATGAGGAAATGGCAAAAGCCCCGGTTTTGGAACTGAGCCGAAGACCGGAATAGGTGTCTTGTGAAAGGTGCCTGGCAGCCTGTGAGCATATACAAGGCTCCAAATGTCACCAGAGAAATCCAGTAAACTGTAGCTACAGCTGAAGACTGACAGTCACATGTTGACAAGCGTGTGGCAGAACTGGGATTCCCATTCAGCTCACTTTACAGAGGTATTTGGAATACATATAAAGGCTAAACATGTCTGCCCTGGCGCCCAGGTAGCTCACCCTTAGGTACACACTAAAGAAAGGTCAATATACATATTAAAAGACATACACAGACTTAACTAGCAACTTGACTTATTAAACTTCCCGGTGGGTAAGCAACCCAACTGATCGTTGGTAGGAAAGTGGATAAACAGACTGTGGTACGTCCCTTCAGCGGAATACTACTCAGCAGTAAAGTAAGACAAACTAGTGATATACAGCATGGATGAATCTTGGACGTTATGCTGAGTGAAAGAAGCCAGATGCAAGTTAAACATAGTGACTTGGCTCACTTTCTGTGGCTATGACAAAATACCTGAGGCCAGCTAAGCTATAAATGAGAGTTTACTTGGCCGGTGGCTTTGGAGGCTGGCAAGTCCAAAAGCATGGTGCTGTGTCTGCCTGGCACCCGTTAAAGTCTTTCGCCGTACCAAAGCATGGTAGAGGGCATCATGGGAGGAGACAGAGAAGATGTGATAACTTGGATTTCTCTTTCTCGTATCAGACAACTAAGGGCTCTACCCTTTTGACCTCATCTAACCCTAATGTCTACTGCCAGATGTCGTTAACATTAATTGGGAAGTTTCCAAGTGTGAACCTCAGAGGCACACTTTCAAACCGTAGCCCAAGGGCTGGAGAGGTGACTCAGAGGTTAAGAACACTGGCTGCTCTTACAGAAGTCTGGGGTTTAGTTCCCAGCACCCACATGAAGGCTTACAACCCTCTGTGACTCTAGTTCCGGGAGATCTGATGCCCTCTTCTGGTCACTGCAGGCACTGCATCCACATGACACTTTCATAATCATGGAAAACCTGAGCTTGCTATGTAGCCAGGCTGACCTGAAAATTGATGTGTAGAACAGGTTGGCCTCAACTCTCTGTAGCTCAAGCTTGCATTGAAATTCATATGTAGCCCAGGCTGGACTTGAACTCTTAATTCTCCTGCCTCAGCAGGCCTGCTCCATATTGGTCAGAGGTGATGCGTGTGTTTCTCCACATCTCACGCTGTATGCACTGCTTCCCGTTTGACTTGTGCGTCTGCTCTTTGCAGCTCCTCAAGTTCATCCCCGAGAAGAGCGACATTGACCTCCTGGAAGAGCACAAGCATGAGATTGAGCGGATGGCACGCGCAGACCGCTTCCTCTATGAAATGAGCCGGTCAGATGGGCACCGGGCATAGCAGGAGGGTGGGGACTCAGGGCCCGGTTCTGCCAATGGGGCACCAGACATAGCAGGAGGGCGGGGACTCAGAGCCCGGTTCTGCCAATGGGGCACCGGGCATAGCAGGAGGGCGGGGACTCAGGGCCCGGTTCTGCCAGTGGGGCACTGGGCATAGCAGGGGGAAGAGTGATCAGGTTGCCACTCTGCTAAGGAAAGGGAGAGAAGGATGCTCAAGAGGAAGCTAGAGCTGCCTTGGGGCCATGGGTCCACCTGTGACGTAGCCTGTCCTGTTCATAGGATTGACCACTACCAGCAGCGGCTACAGGCCCTCTTCTTCAAGAAGAAGTTCCAGGAACGGCTGGCAGAGGCCAAGCCCAAAGTAGAAGGTAAGGCTGTGGCCTGTGGTGCACACCTGGAGAGGGGACACGGCTGTGGATTGACAGTGGGGGAGAGGAAAATTTCCCTCTTATCCCGACCCCAAGTCAAGGGCAGCAGTTAAAATTTTCAGCACGGTTTCATGTGGCCTAGACTAGCTTCCAGTTTACCGTGTAGCTGAGGCTAGCCTTGAACTCCTAATCTTCCCTGCCTCCACCTTCCAAGTGATGGGATTAGCGGAATGCCCCACCAACTTGAAGTGTGGTTACTATGGAGAAATGTTCTTATTTAGGCTGGCTTCTGTGCCAGCCATATGATGCTTTTCTCAGTCTCCACATTATCTCCTCGGGGTGGGGCATCCCTTGACGTCTGCCCCAACATGGGACAGAACAGAGCAGGAAAGGAATGTAGCCAGCACCCTTGTTGGAGCCTGGCGTGTAGAGTCATCCACCACTTCCTATTGAGGAGCCCCAAGTTCACAGAGTCTAGTGGGCATGTTTGCTTAAGTGAAAGCTCATCAGAAAGCCGGCAACCGCATAGACCCTAGAGATATCTGGCTTGATAGAGTCTAGGTGATACAGGCCTTCTCCAGATTGCCATCGCTGAGAGCCGTGAGGTGTATTGTGGCAATGTAGATGTCCTGCCAACTGGTCCATTACCCTTTGTCTCTCATCACTCACTGTGTCAGAGAGTAAATCCTTGGGGCTGCCTGTGGGGAGCAGGACTCAAAGAGTAGTGGGAAAGAATGGAGGGCAGGATGGTGGGCAGATATGTGAGCCCAGCAAGGCAGAAGGGGTCCACTTGGGGGTAAGGAGAAAACTTACAAAGCAGGAAAGAACAAGAAACCACCATCTTGGATGCTCAGGGTGCCAAGCCAGAGGCAGAGCAGAACTTGGGCGCCCCCTGCTGGATACTCTCTGAGATACAGAGTTCAGAGAGCAGATAGGGTCTTTTGTAGAGGCTCCTTAGGGATTTCCAGAGTAGGCGCTTATAGAGATAAAGGCATTGGTGTTCAGTGTGTACACACATGTGCATGCAACAAGGGACCTCAGACTGTAATAAAGAATAGATCATCCATCAGGGGTATGTCCTTGCCCTGATGACCGCCAGCAAGGCCTTTTCATCTCCGTTCTTTTCCTACTCCTATTTCGGGGACAGGAGGCACAGGCCTCCTATTTATGCCTCTTAGGTCAGTGGGGCAAAAGTGAGTGGCCATTTGGAACTGTGGAACCAGCGTAGCGTAGGCTCTGGGAAGGTTTCATCTCCAAGGAGACATGCCCAAGAGCTAAGGCTCAGCCAGGATCCTCTTTACTCTCAAGCTACACAGAAAAAGATGTGCTGGAGAGAGCATCTGTGAGGACATCACACCTCAATGGCTGGGATCCAGATTTGTAGGCATCCCTCCATTATAAATGGCTGCTGTCCTTGAAGGACTCAGAGCTCGGTTGGGGACAGTGACCTGAAGGCATATACACACACTCATCTCTGTGTTCTCAACGCTTCAAGAGTTGGGCTCCATATTTATTCCTCCTTCCTGCTCTTCCAGAAGTACTCGAGAGGTATCTAAGATCGAGCCTAGCTCAGCTGAGTGTGGAGCCATTGACACCCACACTCTCCTCCCCTAGACAGGGCTCCAGGTGAAGTTATTTTAGGGCATTTTACCAAGTTTAATGAATTTCCCAATGCTGTTTTGGATATTTTCTCCCTATGAATACATTCATTGCTGAGTATACTAAATTTACCAATTCTCATTATAAGTAGACTCACTAAATATAGCCTGGGTGAATGTGACTGTAAATGTAATATTCTTATGCATGTATTCATGAACATATTATTCTTGTGAATGCCTCTGAGATGTCAGCATCACAGACGGGAGTTTTCTCATCTGCTCTGATTTCCTTTCAGCGCTCATCATTTTCTGTTTTGCCAACATTTTTAACATTTTTAAAGAATATTCCTATGTAGATTTTTCAAACACCAATCTTAGAAAACTCTCCCTAGCCATATAAGTGGCTGAGGATTTTTGCAAGTAAGTTCTCTTTTTCTTCCTTTTCGGTTTTTTGTTTTTGTTTTTGTTTTTGTTTTTGAGACAGGATTTATCTGTGTAGCCTTGGCTGTCCTGGAACTCATTTTGTAGATCAGACTGACTTCAAACTCACAGAGATCCACCTGCTTCTGCCTCCCAAGAGCTAGGATTAAAGGCATGCACTACCACTGCACAGCTAAATACTGCGTTTTTGTTTTGTTTTGGAGACTGGGTTTCTCTGTGTAGCTCTGGCTGTCCTGGAACTCACTCAGCAGACCATGCTGGCCTTGAACCCAGAAATCCTCTTGCCTCTGCCTCCCTAGTGCTGGGATTAAAGGTGTGGGCAGCACTGGGCTCCAGCCCTTCTTTACACTCCCCTCCCAAACACTAGAAATGCCACCCTCCCAAGAAAGCATCCTCTCTCCTTTTGATATCTGGATAAGTTTTTCTATTTTGAACTTCCTACAAATGGAATAATGTGGTGAGTGATTTTATGATGGCTTCTTTTGCTTATGTCTTATGAATTTCCCCCCAGGATGGTGGGGGCTGTTGAGCTAGGCAATGTCTGCTCTCCCGCTATCTAAGGCCCCGGTGACAGACCAAAGTTAGAATCCACTGCAGTTGGGAAGCCATCGAGAGGTTACTGACAGGAGTGTGGGTGACCGCAAAGCAGTCACAGTGGAAGGTCTGTGGCCAGCATGGATGGCGGCTCCCCATGACTGCAGAGATGGAGCCCTTCCCCTAACAGTCCCAGTTTATACACTCTATTACCCCCACCCCTGGGCCCCAGGGCCATTGGCATTTGGGAGGAAATGGCATCAGCTGTCGGGGGTCCCTGCCTGCTACCTCCTATGTGAGGTGTCACCTGGAATGGCCATTTACAAGCAACTACAACTACCCCCCCCCCGAGGACGGTGGCCATGGGACTTGGACGATAGTGCTTTGTGGTTTTGAATTTTCATCTGAGATACATGTGGAGGGTAGAGATTCAGTTTTCAGTGCTGCATTTTATTCCATTATAAGGAAATTTAAAAAAAAAACTGGGCTAGACAGAGCTGGGGAAATGGCTAAATTCATAAAGTGCTTGCTGCATAAGCATGAGGACTTCAGTTCAGTCCTTCAGAGCCCAAATTTCAAAATCATGAGAGGCAGGCATGGCAGAATGCCTGGACCCCTGTGCTGTGGATGTGGACAGAAGGACCCCTGAGCCTCCCAGGTGAGCTAGCTAGAGAAAGGGTCAAGCCTCAGAGTCACGGGGGGACCTTGTCTCAAAACCTAAGGAGGGGCGTGCTTGGGAAGACACCTGAAGCCCAACTCTGGCCTCTCTGCAAACAGACACATGCAGGCATGCACTGGGAACAACCTAAATCTGCAACCATAACAGGGTGTGTTAGCCCATAGAGTGTGCATATGTGTGATCTAACGACTATGTGAACAACTCCAGCTTCTCATTTTTATAGTAGCTACTTCACTTTTTTAACAAACTGCAAATGTGTGCACACTTTCGGCCTGGTGTTTTCTTTTTTATGTGATATGTGTCTGTGTTTGTTGTATGTGTGACATGTACGCACATGTACAAGTACACACACATGTGCATGCATGCAGAGACCAGAGAGTCAGATGTCCATCTCCCTCCATCTTGGTTTTTGAGATAGTCTCTCTATACCTGAGGCTTGTTTGGGCTAGACTGGCAGGCTGGGAAACTCCCAGGATTCTCCTGTCTGCGGCTGCCATCTTCCTTCAGCATTGCAGTTACAACCCTACCCATGGTGCTGAGGATTTGAACTCGGGTCCTCTTAATTCCATAACAAGTGCTCCTACCCCTGAGGCATCATCTTCCAAACCCTGAGGGCTTTTGTTTCATTTTCATAACAAGATTCTTCTGCCTAGCCAGAGGCTACCAGGTGGTTTGGTCTTGCCACTATCTCAGAACCCGAGGCGTTGTCTGAGGATGGTACCTGAGGTTGACTTCTGACCTCCACATCCAATGTGCACACATCTGCAGCCACATGCACATATACAATACAGGGTTTCAGAATGTGTCGAATCATCCTATAAGTAAAAGCTCGAGGAAGCACATTTGTTAGGTCTAGAAAGATACAACTGCCATATTCAAGTATGCATTTATAAAAAGTGTAATACTCTCCATGTGCGTGATAAGATAGTCCAGATCATTCCAGGGGTGAGCCACCCTAAGGCAGGCTAGCTTTGGGGGTGGGTGAGAAATGGAGAGTCGTGAAGAAAACCCAGTGGCCCCTTCTTCCAGAATGCTCCTGAGAAGCCAGGAGCCGTGCTGTCCTGACCCAGTCTGTGCAGCAGCACTCTGAGCTGTCTCTCTTCCCCCAGCCATCCTGCTGGCCTCCCGGGAGCTGACCCTTAGCAAGCATCTGAAGCAGATGCTGGAGGTGGTCCTAGCCATCGGTAACTTCATGAACAAGGGACAGCGTGGGGGCGCCTACGGGTTCCGGGTAGCCAGTCTCAACAAGATTGCTGACACGAAGTCCAGCATTGACAGGTGGGGATTCACAGGCTCCCTCAGCCCTCTTACCCGGCCCTCTTCTGTCTCTCTGTGCTAGCTGTCTTGTCCACTTAAAAAACGTTGTAAAGGATTATTTTAGTGGTGTGTGTGTGTGTGTGCATGTGTGTGTGTGTGTCTGCGCTCGTGCAGTTGTCTGTGGGGCCAGCAGAGGGCACTAGAGTCACAGGCATTTGTGGATGCTCAGAACCCAACTCAGAACCTCTGGAAGAGCAGACAGCCTGGTAACTGCTGAGCCATCTCCCCAGCCCACTCTTTGCCTTTTCCTCTCGTCACATTCCATCTGGTTCATTGTCCCTCCTCCCCCCGCCTCCTGACACAGCTGTCACCCACAGGAACATCTCTCTGCTTCATTACCTGATCATGATCCTGGAGAAGCACTTCCCTGACATCCTCAACATGCCCTTGGAGCTGCGGCACCTATCAGAAGCTGCCAAAGTCAAGTAAGCAGCCTCTCCCTGCTTCCTTCCCTGTGATCTCACTAGCTGGCGCCCTCACCTGAGAGATAGGTAGTGTCTCAGGGAATGCTTTTAGAAGAATCAGACAGAGACAGCTTGCTCTCTGAGGTGCAAATCACCTTATTTCAGAGGTGATTCAGGGAAATACCTGAATGGAGCAGAGAGCCATGTATAGAAAGAATACCTGTAACACATGCATTATTGAGCCGGGTGCACTGTGGCAAATGGAACTTAAGCCTAAGGGGGAAACAGCATAAAATAGAACCCCCTCCATCTGTTTATCCTGTGGCGGGGGTGAGGGAGTGGGTTACTCATGCAGAACACTAGCCAAGTGTCCTGGGCTGTGAACATCACTCTAACGGGCAGATGGGGCTGATCCAGATAAAGAACACTTGGCTGGATGCTGGAGAGATGGCTGTATGGTTAATAGCATGCCTGCTCTTCCAGAGGACCCCATTCAAACCTCAGCACCCACGTGGTGCTTCACAACCATCTACGACTTCGTTTTCAGGGTATACAGTACCCTCTTCTGGCCTCAGACATTAGGCATGCATGTGGCATACAGACTTATATGTAGGCAAAACACTCACACACATAACATAAATTTAAAATTAAGCCATATTTTAAATCCCGGTCAGCTAGAAGAAGGGGACCTTGAACTGTAATGGGAAGGCCATCCACAGCATCTTCTAAGGCTGCCAGACTTCACCTGTGCTCTGGGGAAGCCAGAAATGCTAAAGCTAACAGGTATCCAGTGCCACTGTGTGTAATGTATTTATGTTATAACAAAACACCTGAGACTGCGTAACTAGAAAAATTAGAAGTGTATTTGACGCATGGCTCTGGAGGACTGGAAGTCCAAGAGGATGGTGCCACAATCTGCTTAACATCTGTTACACTACAGTGTAGCATCAGCTTCCCAGGCCAGGACAGACAGGCAATGAAGAGCCATCATGGAGGCTCGGCCCTCAGGACTGACCTCATCATATCAAAAGCATCTGTCCAAGCCCCACCTCTAAATACAACAACCTAGGGCTTTGGGGAGACACCCTGTTAAATGATGATGGCATTGCTCAATGGTAATGCAAAGAAATAAATCGAGCCAGATGCTAGTGTGAGAAAGCTTTTGATAGGCTTAGGAGGCGATGCAGCGTGTGCTATGAGGGTCTGAGTGCCATGCCCAGAACCCAAACAAACAAAAAGAGGTGGACCCCTCCTAAGACGGTGCCTGAAGTTGTCCACTGAGTTCCACATGTATGAGCGTGCACAAACATGCACCTGCACTTACACACACACACACGCGCGCACACACGCGCGCACACACACACACACACACACACACACACACACACACACACACGGGAACTATGTGATACATGCATCTGGAAGGATCCATGGAGCTGACACTCTACAGACACACAGGGCCGTGATCTGCTGGAGCCATGTATGGGGGCCTAAGAGGGGTGGGTCACAAGGCCACTATGCTCCCAGCTGTCCTTTTCCTGAACTGTGCTTGGTTCTTCACATCCAGAGCTCATGGGTGTCTTTTCTCCCCGTCTCCCCACAGCTTGGCAGAGCTGGAGAAGGAGGTGGGCATTCTCAGGAGGGGCCTCCGAGCAGTAGAGGCGGTAAGTGAGCCTGCTGGGCTTGAGTGGAGGCTTCCCAAGAAGAAGCCAGGCTTGATGCCATTTCTATGTCCATTGCGCCCTCCTCCCCCACATCTCAGATGGCAGAAGCCCCAAGTGATGAACTTGGATGACCCAGGGCTCCTGGATGGGGAGGTGGGGCAGCCGCAAGGTGGACAGAGCCTTAAGAAAAGGTGATCCACCTTATTGGGGTTCACATTTAGACCCTTACAGAAGGGCTGTCTCTCTGAGATGGGCTCTATGTCACTGAGCAGGGGGATGTCCTCATGGTGGACTGACCCGTAGGGCTGTTACACGCAGAGGCTGAGCTCATTACAGGTGACATACAGCGGTATGGCCGTGGGGGCTGCTGTCCCATGAGACCCTACCTTACTGCTCTTCCCTTCCCTAGTGGAGGCTGAAGGCTCATTCACTCATTGATGAGAACTCTGGTATCTTAGTCCCCTCAATGGGACTAAAACAAATCCATCAATGGGGTAGCTTTTAGAAACAAGACATTACCCCTTGTAATTTGGCAGGGTGGGCCATTCAAGACCAAAGTGCGGGCAGGTCCGATGTTCAGGGAGGCCTGGTCTTTATGGGTGGGACCTTCTCAATGTGTCCTCACCTGCTAGAAAGGACGAATTTCCCCGGGGCTCTTGTATAGGGCTGCTTTACAAAGACTCTGCCCTTAAGACCTAGTCCCTCGATAGGAGTGTCCAACCCATGACCCTTAGGCCACATGTGCCTCAAGAGAGCCGTGACTGGGGCCTGACACCAAACCACAAACTTACTTAAGACATTATCTTTTCATGACTTGGTTGTGTACTTCTCAAGTGTGCACTCTGTAGACGACAACGTTGTGTCATAGTGTCAAATGTTTGGACACACCTCCTTGCTTTGCTGTAGGGGTTAGGACTTCCATACAGGAATATTGAGAGCGTACAAACACTGGGCCCAAGCCCTGGGTCTCTGGTCTTGTTACCACCATTGCGGTTCTCACATCTTCATACCTGATGTACTCTCAGGACATCTGTAAGTCTTTGTCCCTCACTTGGGAACTAGAGTACTTTCCCAGAATCCCCATGAAGGAAGGGGAAGGTAGGAGGAGAACTGATTCAGGCTGAAGTTAAGAATTAGAGAACCTGCTCTTGCTACCGTGGGTGATGGTTTCCGTTTTTGATGGTCCTGAAAAGGGCTACTTAGCATATGGATCACAGCCCAGCAGCAAGACTTCCCAGATGATGCTGGTCACACTGTAGTTTTTATTGGCATTGTCAAGGCATGAGTCACAGGGTACAGCAAACCCATGTGTGAAAGATGGCGCTGTGGTGATCCGCTGAGAAAGAAAGTGGAGAGTGAGGGGCAGGCAGAGCTTGCTTAAAAGGGAATTTTTGCGCATGCGTACAGAGCTTTACATAGCCACACAACACGTGATGTAGCCACTCAGCACATGACATAGTGATGTATCGCACATCCTGCTGACTGACAGGGTGGGCCAGCATAATGCCTGGATCCTCACACACACATCATTCAAAAGCCAGAAGGGACAGTGGTGGTTAGGGAAGGACACGAATAGCTGTACAGACCCACAACTCTCAAAGACATCTTTAGAACTGTGAACCCAGGTGCCATCTTTTCCAAAGGCGTTTATGATGTCCTCTGACTGATAAGTAGCATATGGTGGTCCCTGGACTCCATCTGTCTAAATCGTGTTAACCCTCCTTTCCCAGGAGTTGGAATATCAAAGGCGCCAGGCACGGGACCCCAATGACAAGTTTGTCCCTGTCATGAGTGACTTCATCACAGTGTCCAGCTTCAGTTTCTCAGAGCTGGAGGACCAGCTCAATGAGGCCAGGGATAAGGTAAAGATGGCCCAGTGCCCCCACTGTGTCTCAGCTCCCTCTTTTCTAGGCATGGTGTGACAGGGACAGGGACAAAGCCAGTGCCTTGAGACATCCCATCTCCTCTCTCCTCCAAGGCAATCAGTGACTACCTTGTACCACAGGGATCAGGGCCCACTTTTTAGGTACCCAGGCACCATCAGCATTGTTTTAAATTTTATTTTTATGTATGTGTGTATACATTTGTGTGTGTGCGCTTTTGCACACATACCTGCGGAGACCAGAGATCAACCTCGGGTGTCATTACTCAGGAGCCAACCATCTTATATTTTACCACAGGGTCTCATTGGGACCTGGGGCTCAATGATTAGGGTAGTCTGGCTGGCCAGCCTCCGAGATCTTCCTGTAGCCTGCTCCCCACTGTTGAAATCATGTCCCCCATCACCTGCTTTACAGGTTTGCTGAAAGTTTATAGTCCCATTCACCAGATGAAGACACTGAGAATCAGAGGGTCTCAGTCACTTGGGCAAGCATCCTGAGTGCCCAGCTGAGCCTTGAACTTGCTGGCACTCTACCTACTTCTGTGAGGATGCAAATGGACCCATGTGGTGTTCATTTTAATGTGTGGCCTCTTATGCAGAAGACCCAGGGGGAGGGTGGCTGGAGAGCCAGCATTTCCAGCAGGCTTCCAGAAGGTACACAGGCTGCGGGTCCCAGGAGGACTACTTGGGTGGGGAATGTTTCCTAGATGGTATTGTGTGCATTGGGTAAGAGAACACAGTGCTCACACAAAGTCAGGGTGGTGCCTGCTTCATGTGCATAGAGCCTGCTGTTTCTGTCCATCACCCCATTTGATGCCCACAATAATACCATGAAGCTGATCCCCATTTTACAGGTGAAGGAGTCGAGTCACAGAGGGGCTAAGTAAGTCACCCACCAACTAAGTGACCCAATAATGACTCGATGGCATGTGTGGGCCCTTTCCATTCCAGCCAGGCAGTGGCTGACTATCGATAAGTCTTCCCAGGCCATCATCTCCTGATTCCACACCTTCAGTATAAAGGACCCAGACGTGGCATAAAATTAGACTGTCAGCTAGCCCCAACTCATCTCCCCAGAAGTCACCCCAACAGGAGTTATTCACTAGTGAATTTTGGATTGAGGCTTCCATGGGTGAACCCTGGGGTTTGAACCATCTCTCCGTGCCTACACCTGTGCCCCAGCTTGGACTGGGCTCAGCTGGGAGCTAACTGACTACAGGCTTGGGCTCACCGCACTTCTGTGTCTTTTACAGTTTGCCAAGGCGCTGACGCACTTCGGGGAGCAGGAGAGTAAGATGCAGCCAGACGAGTTCTTTGGTATCTTCGATACCTTCTTGCAGGCCTTCTTGGAGGCCCGGCAGGACCTGGAGGCCATGAGGAGGAGGAAGGAAGATGATGAGCGGAGGGCGCGCATGGAATCCATGGTAAGGGCTGGGGGTGGGGGTGGGGGTGGGCAGGGTGCAGCACAGGAGGGCATGAAGGGGAGGGTGCTTGGAGGATGCGAGATAAAATAGGAGCCCAGAAGGGAGAAACAGCTCCCAGCTTGGGGGGCGGGTGGGGCATCTTGAGAAGCAGCAGAGTGTCCCTGGCCGGTGACGCGTGTCCAGGATAGGGGTAGGCTCGGGCTGGGAGAGCGTTCAAGGACCAAGAGGGCTGCAGGCAGCTTGCCTTGTCCCTGACTCACTTCACCTTCCCACTCTCAGCTGAAGGAGCAGCGTGAAAAAGAAAGATGGCAGAGGCAGCGGAAGGTCCTGGTGGGTGGCACCCTGGAGGAGAGCGGCGAGTTTGATGACCTGGTGTCAGCCTTGCGCTCCGGAGAAGTCTTTGACAAGGACTTAAACAAGTTCAAGCGCAACCGCAAGCGAGCAGGGACTCAGGCCCCAGAGGTCACCCGAGAGCGGGCCATAAACAGGCTAAATTATTGACTTGGGGCCACACAGCAGCCGGCCTGAAGACAGACGTGTTAGGGGAGAGGAGTTGCGTAGAAGCAGCAATGACTTCGGTGACTTGGAGAGCTGGGTTGGGGAGCCCTGGGCTGGGTCCTGAGGGCTGTGTGGTTAGACCAGGTGTCTCCCACGCCGACAGAGGGGCTTCTCATCTCCCCTTCATCCATTGCCACCCTGTCACTGTCTGTGCCCCCCTTTCCTGGCCATCACTCTCTAAGACTAGCTTGGACATCCCTGGCAGGCCCTGGGCTTTGGTCAGGAAATCCCAGGTTGGAGGACACCATTCTCCAGACTTTGCATTGGCGCAGAGCTATTTAAAATCCCAGAGACACATTCCTTCTCTGGCCTCTTGTACAGGATATGGTGGTGGAATGGAACCTGAGAGTCAGCAGTGGGGACTCTAGGCTCTTATCTGAAGAGACAGCTCAATGGAACATGGATCTGGGGTGGAAACTAGAGGCCTTGTGTGTTGTAATGAGATAAGCTCTAGCAAGTTCCAGAAGAATACATGTGGAAAAGGGACCAGGAGCCAGCAAGTGAGTTATCTGCCTTTTGCCTAGAGCAAGTCCTGGGGCCTCTCCTCTCCCCTCGGCCACCTCCATCCTATCTACTAGTGTCCAGCTTCCAACTTCATCTCTGGATTCCAGAACTCCGGATCGCCATCAGCTTATGGTATGGCTCTGGAAAGGAGAATGTCCAAGGAAGACCTCCTCACCAGGCTCAGCATAGGAGCCCCAAAGCCCACCCCAGTGCAACCCGAACCTTGTGCTGGACGTGACATGAGTTCCCAGGAGTTCTTCACCAAGGACTACACTCACACGTGTCCCTTCCCTAGGAGTGCCCCTCTACCATTTCACCCAGATGTCCCCTTCTACGTCTCCATCTGAGGTCACGCGGAGCTCCATATACTTGGCTGCAGCTGGCCTTGGGGAATTGTTCCTGAGGGCTAGAGCAAGCAGAAAATGCTGAGGTGATCATGAAGGAGGGAGAGCTTGTGTAGGATGCTCTCTTCAGGGTTTGCCCCTGCATCTGTAGATATTCCGGTTGGTTCCTTGGCGTGACTTGTATGGGACCATTCTGGACCTCCTGTTCAATCATCTTCTGTTCCGTCCATCTTCAGTTGTTTTTGGTATAGAAAAGGCAGCACTACTATATCTACACGAGTGTTCTAAATGGAGCAGGGTAAGATCAACTCCATGAGGGTTCTTGCTGTCTGATGCACCTCTATTCCCTCTCATCCTGAGACCAGTCTTGCCTGATTACCATCCATGAGCTCCTGACTTCTCATCTAACTCCATGGCTTCCAGTGGCTGCGTGATGCTCACTCCTATCTTGTTTTCCTACATGAGATTCCCAGGGGGTGGGACCATAAGCTTTGGGGAGGAGAAACACAGGGTTAAGCTGGACATGTACACTGGTTTGAGAGGAGTCTCAGCAAGTACAGGCATAGAGAAGCCAGCCTGTGAGGGCAAAAGGCTTCAAAGAGTGGCTACTGCCTCCACCTGACACCTCCTCCCACAAGCTACCAAGAATGGAGAGGCTAGAGCTGGACATCTTCCCATCCTCTTCCAATTTGGCCAGGCTGTCAGCCTAACATGCTAGGGGCAGGGAACAGGCATGCCTGTGTTCTGGCCTTCCCAACCACCATGAAGACTGGACATGCACCAGGAAAGACAAGGAAGATGGACGTTCTTGAAGGAGCACACTGGAGCCTCAGAAAAGCCATTTGGCATCTCTCCAGAGCCCAGCCTTCTTACCCCAAAGGATTTTGCCTTCTCTATTTATTATTTTCCAAATTTGGCCAGCGGCTCTGGTGCTGTATGTCTTTGTAACCAGATTTCAACAGTGCCTTGAACCACACGGACCATTGTGGGTGGCTCAGCAGGAAGTGACCGGTGCCCAGTAGAGGCAGATAGGCTGGTCCTCAACATTAAATGACATCTACCCCCAGTACAGCTCCTATCTGTCCTGCCACCTGTGGGTCAACGGTTTCAGTTAACTGTGCACAATGTACGATTCATAGTCCAGTCAACATACCCCTTCTCGGCAATGGCAATTCCCTTCCCAGGATGGAAGCTGGTCCAGGGGGTGGAAGGACAAAACTGTCCCGGTGGGTGGAGATAGGCATGGGCTCTTCCCATCCACTCCTGCTACCAGCAACTGGGGAGCTGTGACCATCTCCCCAGGACATCTGCCAACCTTCATGCTAAGGCCACTCTTACCAGCTGCTGCAGAAGACAAATAAGTTTCATATGTACAGAACTCTACAGTGTCCTTTTTACCCGCACCCTTTTATAAGAATATATTGTAATACTAAAAAATATTAAACTCATCCCCACCCTGCCTAGAAACGTATCTTTTTCCCATGTAGACTTGAGTTGTGCTAGAGTGGACTGAGCCAATGGTGGGATGAAACTAGTTCCTACCAGTTCTACCCCATTCCATGAGTGCCAATGTACATTTTCTGGAATGTTCCAAGCCAAATGAGGTTATGTGGATGGCTTGAGTTGGGAACATTTGTGTCACAGGAACCCATTTGTTTTTCCAAAGATGAATTGTTAAACATTTGTCATCACCCCTCTGTACAAGGTAGAGGAACCCAAGAAGCCACCACCTTTGAGAAGCCAGCATGCCAGGCCATTGTTTGGGAAGCATGGACTAGGAGCCTCTAATTAACAGCCTGACCTCCGAGAGTTGGCGGTACAGCTGAGCCGGGACCCCCATCTGTCAATCTGCCTTAGGATGGATCCTGCATTTCTCACTGTCTCCTCTGGGGGAGTCCAGAGACTGTGCCCCTTGATTCTCTCTTCCCATCCCATCCCTTTCAGAGAGTCCCTTGGAACGGGACTGATGGGTAAAACTTAGCAGCTGTGCCCTTCTTACAGACAAGAGTCCTCACGCCTCATCTCCAAAGCTGGCTTTATTTGTGCACGGAGGGGTGAAGGTCACCTTCAACTCTCTTCTTTCCCTGATATGCGCCAGAGGAGAGGTGTGGGCAGACCGCAGTAGGCAGAAGCGGGCGTGGGTAAAGGTTGGCACGAGTCCTTAGTGATACCGTCCATAAATGTACGTCCCCTTGGAGAGGGCTGGAAGCCAGGCAGTGGGATCACTGTGACCCACTCTTTAGGAAGCTTGTGCTTTTCCCTCCTCAAAGTGGGCTCCTCTGCTCAGTGAGCCCTTATTATCTCCCCAGGAAGAGAGGAGAGGGCCCTAATGAGAAGGGCTGCTTAAAGCTATCCATCTGAAACAACTCAAGCACTCTGGCATGACTGGGGGGTGGGGATCCAGTATCAAACCTCCCAAGGCTGGAGTCCTGGAAGGTGTCAAGGACGGAGGTGTCTTAGGTTGAGAACATCTCACTATAAATATCATAGTGACCCTAGGTCACAGTGACTAGATTTAGAGGAATGTGACATCTTTTCCTTGGCCTAAATTGTATCCCTTGGGAGCCATGACCACAGTGAGTGAGTGAGGCTCCCTAAGCCCGATGGAAGTCCCCCCGCTGACCCCCAGTCTTGCTGATCAGCTTTACCTCTGCCACCACGATGTCCCTACTGACTGCCTTGCACATGTCATACACCGTAAGGGCAGCCATGGCAGCCGAAGTCAGCGCCTCCATCTCTACACCAGTGGGGCCCCGGGCCCGGCATGATGCCTGGATCAGCACGGCATGGCGTGTACTGTCCAGCTCCAGCTGTACCTGCACGTGGCTCAGGGCCACATGGTGGCACAGGGGGATCACCTGACTAGTTAGCTTGGCTGCCTGGACTCCAGCCAGCTGGGCCACTGTGAGAGCATCTCCCTTCTTCAGCTGGCTCTGCTGGACAAGCTTGAAGGCCACAGGTCCAAGAAGGACCACAGCAGAGGCCACAGCCACCCGCAGTGTGTCTGGCTTCCCGCCCACATCTACCATAGCTGCCCGTCCTTCTGAATCCACATGAGTTAGCTGAGTTGAGGTTGGCCCTGGTCCTGAGGGGACAGCAGGACCCTGTGAGTCTTTGCTAAGGCACTTAGAGTGAGTGTCAGAGTCTGGGTAGTGGCTGTAGTGTCTCTGAGGGGAGCCAGACCCCAGGCACTGCTGAAACAGAGGAAGGGCCATGGGAACACGGAGTTTTTCCCACAAAGTTGCCATCTTATCAGAGAGGTTCTCCCTGGCACTCGGACTCCGAACACGCAGGGGATCCCAGGAGAAAAGGCTCCAAGTAGCTGGTGGGGAATCTTGAAGCATCAAAAATGCCCCTGAAAGGCAAGAGGGAAGAGAAGAGACTGAGCCTGCAAATGAGTACCTCTCCTGACCCCTTACTGCCCCAACATGTTCTCATTCACACTGGGGAGAAGGAAAAACCAAAAGCAGACAGAGAGCTGGCTGCAGTGGTGGTGCAGGCCCGCATTCCCAGGACTCGGGAGGCAGAGGCGAGTGGGTCTCTGTGAGTCCAAGGCCAGCCTGGTCTACAGAGGGAGTTCGGGACAGTTAGGGCTACAGGCTAGAGGAATCTTGTCTTGGAAAACAAAATAAAACAAGCGAAACAAGCAGGCAGAGAAGAAACCAAAGAGAAGGTGCCTAGAAGGTTTGTGCTCATCAGGCAGGGTTGGTGCAAGGCCACTTGCTTGTTTCCAGTGCGTCTGAACTTGGTCCCCAGAGTTCTGCTATGACATGCCTTAGGCCTGAAGACCGATGCCTGGGACAGCCTTTTGATGTGCATTCGTTTTCCCAAGACTAGCTAGGTCTGAATTACCAATCACAGGTATTTTCACCTTGATACTTCCAATGGAGAATGCAAAGCAACCATGTCATTGGCAGGTAAGACATCAAGCAAACAGTTCATCTATGTAAGCAATGTCAAGCCCCTGTATGGGCATTAAGTGACAGATTGGTACCCATGTCCAGAAAACCTTGGGGCTTCTGCAGACTGCTGTTTCCCAGAGAATAGACAAAAGACCAGTGCCAGCACCCCGACAGCAGCAGCTGAGAACTCACACGACTGGATACCTGGTCCTACCAACTCAGGGTCGAGTGGGCAGGGTCCCTGAGAGCGTCAGAGAGGCCCTGACAGAGGAAACTCTTGTGTTATGAAGACCAGGCCAGACTAGTCACGCCACACAAGACAAGGGATTCTCCATCATACCCTGAGCCCCACCCTTGTCGGGCAGAGGGAGCAGCATCAAGGCATCCCCGTCCCTAGCTGTGAAGATGTATATCCGGGGGCTGGAGGATGACTACGCTACCTTCCCCAGTGGAATGCCTCTCCTGCTTTGGGTGGCCAGTGTGCTGAGGCGTCACTGGGCTATCTCTGGCCCAGGGGATCAGCTTTGCTCTGGGCCTGTAGGCTACTCTGCTCCAAGCTCTGGAGGAAGGAGCCGTTTCCTTCAGGGTCCTTAGTGCTTTTGCAGTTCCACTGTGCTAACTCGGGAGGCCTGAATCTGGGTGTGACACGTAGGGCGTCAAGGCGTCATCTGCTGCCACCTGGGCACCGAGCAGAGCAACAGGGACCAGCCGCGTTCCCCAGGAGAGGACACTACCTGGGGCTTTAAAAGTGGTGTTTTCACTTGAGGAAGCACCTTGTACTTGAGGTGTGCAGGAAATGGAAAGCTCAAATCCTGGGTGTTCAGAGGGCTGCCTTGCTGGGTCAACTGATGGGCCACGCATAGACACAGGTAGCCCCATGTGACAGAGAAGGGACACCTGTGTCCTGCTGGGAGATTTCACAGCGGTGGCGCAGCTCTACTCTCCTAGGAGAGCTAACTCAGTGAGCATCAGGTCTTTAGAAGACCCTGCCCTGATTTCGAGATAGGGCAAAGGACCACTTTACGTCCGGAGACAGACGGGTTGCTGTGGGCAGGGAAGACATGGTAGACATCGGGAGTTTAAGAAAAGATGAAGGAGATCCAAAAAATAAAAAGGAAGAATATCACGGAGCCGAGCAGGAGTTATCTCATTGAGGGGACCCCCACCACCCCACAGGACCCTCCAAGTGACAAGGGTAAGTAGTTACGTACTGATAGGTCACCCACCGATGAGGATCATGGGCCGGTTCTTCATCTGGGCAATGTTAAACATGCCTGGTGTGAGGGAAGGACGGACAGACAGGAAAGCGGGGGAGGACAGAGAAGGGAGAATCCACTGAAACACACAGGTGAATGAATGTGGCCCCAAAGTCCTATGCACAGCACAGGCATTGTGACAATATCCCTCTCTCACATTTGTTACTGCAAGGTGGAGCCCAGAGAGCAGCCTGGAGATGCCCAGGGACCTGGCGCTCCCTCCCTCTCTCCCAAGAGCCAGTGATATCTCAGTTCAAGAGAATTTGGGGTCTCCCTGTATAGCTCATGCTACGTTGATTTTCTCACCACACCCAAATCCAATAGGAGTGGCCACAAGGACACTTAGACCGGCACCCTTGGTCCAGGCTTGCTTTACCCCTGCACCCTCTCCTCCAAGCTTGTTTCACACTAACCCTGCCCACTCCCGCCAGCCCAGCCTTCCCGCCCAGCCCTTACCTGCATGCTGCCTCTTCTTCCTACCCACGGCTGCCCCAATGATTCTCAGAAGCTCCTCCTCAGATGCCCCCGCCCGCAGGTGGTCCCGCAGGGACACCTCAGCGTTCCCGAAGAGGCAGACCTGGTGCAGATGAGAGAACAAGTCTAAGCCGCCAGCCCTACCAGGGTGAGCATCAGTGCTCAAGCCTCCCTCCCGGCAGGCTCACCCAGGGCCATGGGGGACACAAGGGACTGGATGGACGGGGCCAGAAAAGCTAGGCAAGCAGCAGGCAAAATCAGACTTCTGTGTGGGGCTTAGCTCTACTCCTTTCACAGTGTACAGTACGCAATGAGAATTAAATAGATACGAAGAGCGAGCATACGGAGCCAGAACTGCTGTTATTTTCTGAGATAGCTGATGATGAAGCCTCTATCACGAGAGTGGACCCCAATCAATAGCTGGGTACCCTGGAGGTGGAACATGCATCCTGTTTCCCATCAGTCCTTCCTGGTTCCTTCCGGTGTGGACATTACCACCTGCCACCCATTTGCAGCAGAGGGCTGTTGGAAAGGACAGCCTTGGAGTTTTTGTTTCTAAACAAGAGTCTCATTTTTTTTAGCTCATACTATAGTGTCCAGGATGGCCAGGAACTGACAGGAACCCTCCTCCATCTGACTGTGCTGGGGTGACAAATGTGAGCATCCCACCTGGCTGGAGATGACTTCTGTAGTCATTTAGTCTTAAGTCAATGTTCCCTGGCTTCTGTGAGAAACTTGGTCCTAAGATGGGGATGGCTAAGGTCATGCAGAAAACCAACAAACCACCCTGCTACAACCTATGTGTCTGTCAGATGTGCTAGTCAGGCACAGAAGAATGTCTGGAAAGCCAGGGAGTGCCGAGCCCTGGAGCAGCCAGGGCTGTAAGACAGGAGGTCTGGTTCCCCATTCCCACAGCACGGAGCCCAGGCTCTGTTCCACCCTTCACTGACACTCGGGCTTCCCTGTGCTGGCTTCTGCCTGGAGATCAGGAGAGAGGAAGGGGAGGCCCTGCGGAATTCCCTCCACAGCTGAAGCACCACCCCTTCCCCTCAAGGCTGCAGCCGCACTGGCCCTCAGTGACATCACCCCTCGGTGACATCACCCCTCGGTGACATCACCCCTCGGTGACATCACCCCCTCGGTGACATCATCCCTCGGTGACATCACCCCTCGGTGACATCACCCCCTCGGTGACATCACCCCCTCGGTGACATCATCCCTCGGTGACATCACCCCCTCGGTTCTCGGCTTCCACTAAATAACCATCCCATTCTCTTCAAATGTCTTCCTTACACTTCCTATAGGACCTTGATGGACAGATGCCAACTGTATTCCCAGGCATTTCTGGAACAACTCAGTGTATACTTCTTTCTTTCTGTATTCAAATGGGCTGACCCCAGACCTGCAGCTCCAACCCCAATCCTAAAATTCCCGGCCCAGCAGTCACCCCACACATTCCCCTCCTCCTACACCACTAAGCTCTTTCATTATTCTGTCCCATACTTTTTTCTTATGCATATGTGTGTCTATGTTTCCTGTATATAGGTGTGTGTGTGTGTGTGTGTGTGTGTGTGTGTGTGTGCGCGCGCGCGCATGTTAGTATTCAGGCATCTGTACTGGCCTGTCCATGGGGTTCTGACAGGATGTAGCCTCAGCTGCAGCCACTAAGAGCATCATCTGTGCCCATTCACTGTTTCCCTTTTAAAAGGACCCTGCCCACCTCCCATCCTCTTCTCTTCCTTTCTCTCCCTCTCTCTGTCCATCCATCCCTCCCTCCCCCTCTTTCCTCTCTTTTGTTGCTCCTATCTCTGGTGGCCAGTCTCTCCACCCCCTTTCCCTAATAAAAACCCTCTGTTTGACCCTATCACATGGCATCTTTCTCTCAAGTGACACTTTTCTTAAATTAGCAACAGTGTGCATGCATGGAGGCCAAAGGTCAATATCAGGTGTCTTCCTCAACTGACCTCCACAGTAGTTTTTGAGACTGGGTCTCTCATTGACCTAGATTTCAGCAACTTGGCTAGACTAGCAGGCCGGTGAGCTCCAGAGTCTCTTCTCTCCACTTGCCCAGCACTGGGATTACAAGTGTGCAGCCATGCTTGGCTTTTTACATGGGAGCTGGAGATCGAAACTTGGGTCTCCGTGACTGCATAGCAAGTACCTTTCTGCTGAGTCATCTTCCTCACACTATCACCCCACACATTCAGCCATCTCCCCATGCAATCTCATAGCTTTACCCTCACATATGTATGTATCTTAGTCATTGCTCCATATCAACTTAACGAGTTTAAGTTCAAATCTGACAAAGATGAAGAGCATGTCTCCCTCTTGTTCAGAAACTTCACATCGCTCCCTAGTCAGAGGAACAAGTTGATCTGAAACACAGCTCTCAACAGTGTGGACTTCCCAGATCTGATTCAGGCAGAGCGAGTCCAGGTCTCAGCCCTTCTTCAAGGTCTCTGAGGTCCTGGAGCCCACCATCCTCACTGCCAGCACAGACATGCCTGGTACAGAGGGTCACTATGTTTCTGTCCACTACCTCTTTGAAGGTGCCAATGAGTTCCTATGGCCTTAAGGTAATGAGCCTTTCCCAGACTCAAGCTCAAGCATGAGTGACAATTACCCAAGTAATGGGCCTGTTTTCAGAGTGTGCCCCTGGCTGTGTGGAAAAGGTCAACCAGATGTCCCAGGGATAACAACCCTTTAGGTCCCCCTCTGGCAGCACTGAGTGCTGGAAAGGATCCCCGATGAACCAGAAGCTATTCTGAGGTCCCAAAGGATGAAGGATTGAGGGAAGAGGGTGACTGCAACACAAATCAGATGCACTCTGGTCACCCCCAAGTTCCCCTGCACTGAGCACTGATCTCCGCTCTAATCAGAAGCTCAGGTGGAATGTGAGGAGACCGGTAGCAAGGGCTCCCGGGGGTGGGATGCTCACCTTGAGGTTCCCGTCAGCTGTGATGCGCAGTCGGTTGCAGGTCCCACAGAAATGCTCGGACATGGAGGTAATGAAGCTGATCTGGCCCTGGAAGCCAGGGATCTTAAAGGCCTAGGGGAGAAGGGCGGTGGAAGGGACAGGGTGGGCTCTCCCTCACTCCCAAGATTCCCCCACACTCTGCAGCTCCCTCACAGTGTGGTGGGTGACCCATACGCCTCTGCCGTGGCCTGGCCTTGCTCTAGAGAGGAGTTGCTATGGATACAGGTGTCTGGGGATGCCAGGCCTCCAGAAGGTCATGTGGAGGACAGGGCCAGCGCTGCTGCTCCATTTGCCTGCATGACCTCTGAAGCCACTTGGTCTTACCCTTCCAAGTCTAGGCTGCTCTCCCAAGCTGCACTCCCCGCTGTGCTCTGGACTTACAGCCACATCCAGCAACCACCCACGCTCCCTAACCTTGGCTGTGCTGGAGTCCTCCTCGGGCAGCTTCTCCAGCCCTGGCCACCGCTGTCGAATGGTGTCCAGCATCTCCTTGTAGCTAACCATCTTCCTGAAGTTCCACTTGTTGCCTGCATTTGGTTGCGGGTGGCAGAGGGGTGGGGGGGCTTTTGGACCAGAGATGAAGGGGACCCTGCCCAAGGATCAGATCACACCCATGTGTGACCCCAGAGCACCACACACTGCCCTCCCACCACCCCAGGTCTTAGCAGTACCTGGTACCGCCCCGAGGCCCACACACCCCTTCTGTCCCCACCAAGCCCCTGTCACTCACCGTCAAATGGCATGTACTCGATGAAGCGCACATCCAGGGGAAGGGCTTCTGTCAAGGCCACAAAGTCTAGAAGCTCGTCTTCATTCAGGCCTCGCATCACCACACAGTTCACCTGACCAAGGACAAGGGCACTGAGAACTGTCTCCAACGTGCCTTCATGAGGATGACCTTTGGGGTGTGGCGGGGTGTGGCACTGCTCGGGACAATCTACGCCTCCCATTACTCTCAGGGCTGGGGCAGTCTCTGTTCCCAGTGAGGGAGAAGTGGGGGCCGGATGTGATTGGCAAGAGTATTGGGAGGTACACATCCACTGGTCAGGCTGAGGGCTGTCAAGGGGCCGGCAGGGTCAGGGAGGAAGGCGGAGTCAGCAGGTGACAGGTGCTCACCTTCACAGGCTTGTAACCCAGCTCAATGGCTTTGTGAACACCCTCCATGACTTTGTGGAAGCCTGTGGAGAGGGAGAAGCAAGGACTCAGGGACTGCCTTGTCCCGGAACAACCAGATCCACACTGGCTGAGAGGCCAGCGACTTTCCTCCCGCAGGCCCGACAAGGAACATTTCAGGTTACAAAAGCCAAGAGGCAGCACCCAGACTCTGTGTGGGCAGGTGACACAAAGCATGTTTTTACTAATTTCAAAGTACAGCAATATGACTTTTCTTTTTAAGGTACACTTCCTTTTTGGAGTTACGTATGTACGTGTGCATGCTGGTCTATTTGTAGGAGTGCATGCACAATTGGAGGCCAGAGCATCCTGGGGTGCATTCCTCAGAGCCTTCATCTGTTGCCACTTTGTATTTATTTCGTTTTATGTATATGTGTGCTTAGCCGCATGTATGTCTGTACGCCACAGGTGTCCCTGGTGCTGACGGAGGTCAGAAGAGGGCACTGGGTCCCTTGGTTTTTCGTAACGTGAGATGGGAATGACTATTTTCTCTGGGGCTCAATATTGTTTAATTGGGGTTCACAGGTCATGTTCTCAAGGATTAATGATTACAAATGTCATCGGTAAAACACATTTCTGGCTCCAAGGCTGTGAGCTGGATGCGACCCGTGGGCCACAGTTAGCCAAGCCTTTGCACAGTCTAGATGGGGAAACTGAGGCCCGCCTGCAGTCTTCACACCCATCTTGTATGATGCAGGCCCCTCTCACTGGTATGTTCTCAGCCCTTCCCTCCAGGGGCAGGTGAATACCACAGCATAATGGGGGGCGGGGAGGAATGTGTCCCTGGGGAAGGGGGCAAGGGAGGGACAGACACAGATGGGGCCCAGCCTGAAGCACCCTCCCACTTCCCCCTCCCGCCAGGCCTCCTGCTCTCTGTTCACAGGCTCCTCAGAGGAAGGAGCCTAGATCCAAATCCTCTGTGCCACTGGGCCAGCAGAACCATCTCTTCCTCAATCCAGCTCCCTCCTGCTCTGAGTTGCCCCCCTCCCCACGGCAGGTCAGCGGACACCGTGAGATCAGCAAAGGCTGTTCTATGTGATCGTATGCTTTGTTCCAGCAGTCTGCAGGGTCTGGGCAGCGTCCCATGCACAAGCATGAGAGTCTGAGTTCGATCCCCAGCACGTGTAAAAAGCTGGATGAGGGAGGCGTGCTTATAATCCCAACCCCAGGAGGAGGAGAGAGGTAAAGTCCCAGGGCTCACTGGCCAGCCTGACTAGTCTAAATGAGTGTATCCCAGATCCCAGCCAGAGAGGCTATCTCAGAAACGCATGATGGACAACTCATTATGAGGAGGAAGAGGAGGCTGCCCTATTGCCTCCACCCGCACACGCAACCACAGGACACGAACACACACACATCCCCCCAACAAAAACAAAGCATGAGTTTAAAAACACATTAAAACTGTGTTACTACACTTTAAATTTTGCCACAGTGAATGACTCAGCCAGAGCTCAGCCTCAGCCAGAGGGAGGAGCCTCAGCCAGAGCTTTCTGGAATGCTGCAAGCAGGACCTGCACACCGGGCAGGGAAGGAGGAGGACATCCAGGCCGGCACTGACACTGTGCCAGAAGAAGAGGGTGGCGAGCTGCGTTTCCTAGCACCCCTCTGACCTCCCAGAGCCCTCAGTGATGGACTACCCATATTTGGAGCAGGGTGTGAGGAAGAGAGGCTTAAAGACAAGGGCCTGACACTTCAGGGCGGCCACTTCTGCCCCAGCCATCCATGTGTCTCCAGGCAAACAACCTGGCCTTGGCATTAGTCCCTTACGGAGCCTTACCACGAGCACTTCCATGATCTAGACACCTGGAGGAAGTGAACACCCCGCCACACACACACACACACACACACACACACACACACACCAGCAGCAGCAGCAGCAGCAGCAGCAGCAAAGCCCCGGGGAGACCCACACTTCGGCCGGCCTGCTGTGATCACCTTTCCTGCGGACGATGAACTCAAACTTGGCCGGCACCAGAGTGTCCAGGCTGATGTTAACAGCGTTGAGCCCTGCCTGCTGGAGCTGGGGCAGCAGCCGGGCTAGGTTGATGCCGTTGGTAGTGACACCGATGGTTCTCAGCCCTTCCAGCCGATGAAGTTGTGCTGGAGAGACAGGAGGAGAGCGTCAGACTGTTTTCCCTGGGGAAGCGGCAGGGATGGAGCGCAAAGGGGCTTCTGCTGGGCCTGGTAACAATCGTGGAAATAAAAACCAGGGTGAGGGGATGGATGGACGTACCGATTGGCTGTTAAGACCACTCGTTTCTCTTGCACAAAAGCCGGTTCAGTTTCCAGCATGCAGGCGGCAACTTACAACCACCTGTAACTCTGTTTCCAGGGGCTGAAGCCTTCTTCTGACCTCACTGCCGGGCACATATGTGGCACACATACATGCATACAGGCAAAAACATTCATACAAGTAAGAACCAGAATGAAGACCAACAGATGGCGTACTGTGTGGTGGGTTGAAGGAAAGTGGTCCCCAAAGGGAGTGACACTATTAGAAGGCGTGGCTTTGTTGAGTGGGTGTTGCCTTGTTGGAGGAAGTGTGTCACTGTGGAGGTGGTCTTTGAGGTCTCATACACGCTCCAGATCCTGCCCAGTGTGACAGACCACTTCCTGTCGCCTGTGAGTCAAACAGAAGAGCTCTCAGCCCCTTCCTCTAGCACCATGTCTGCTTGCATGCTGCCTTGCTTCCCACCAGGACGATAATAGTAAACCTCTGAAACTGTAAGCCAGCCCCAATTAAATGCTTTCCTTTAAAAGAGTTGCCGTGGTCAAGGTGTCTCTTCACAGCCACAGAAATCCTCACCCTAGGCAGGGTGCTCACCATGGGATAGGTTCTCTCCCAGAGATGGATGGATGCCTTCCCTGGGATGGATGGGTGCTCTCCCTGGGATGGATGGGTGCTCTCCCAGGGATGGATGGGTGCTCTCCCTGGGATGGATAGGTGCTCACCCTGGGCTGGGTGCTCTCCCTGGGATGGATAGGTGCTCTCCCTGGGATGGGTGCTCTCCTTGGGCTGGGTGCTCACCCTTGGATGGGTGCTTACCCTGGGATGGGTGCTCTCCCTGGGATGGATGGGTGCTCTCCCTGGGATGGATGGATGCTCTCCCTGGGATGGATGGGTGCTCTCCCTGGGATGGATGGGTGCTCACCCTGGGCTGGATGCTCCCCCTGGGATGGATGGATGCTCTCCCTGGGATGGATGGGTGCTCTCCCTGGGATGGATGGGTGCTCTCCCTGGGATGGATGGATGCTCATCCTGGGATGAGTGCTCTCCTTGGGATGGGTGCTCTACTAAGAGCATCATACAGATTAGCTCACTGAAGCTGCAGAACAGAGATTGTTCCTCATTTGGTAGGCAAGGAAAGAGGCGTCAAGAAATTAAGAAAATTGCTTAAATTCAGCAAGTTAGTACCAGAAAGACATGTGAAGGCCAGAAACCTCAATCACTCTCCATGTGCATCTTTGAAACAGGGTCTCCCACTTAACCTGCAGCTGACTGGCTTGGCTGGACTGGCTGGTGAGCATCCTCACAGAGCCTCCTGTCCCTGCCCCCACCCAGTACTGACACTGCAGAGCATGCCTCACGCCTGCACAGTAGACACTTTACATGGGTCCTCACGCCTGCACAGTAGACACTTTACATGGGTCCTCACGCCTGCACAGTAGACACTTTACATGGGTCCTCACACCTGCACAGTAGACACTTTACATGGGTCATCACGCCTGCCACAGTAGACACTTTACATGGGTCATTACTTTACATGGGTCCTCACGCCTGCACAGTAGACACTTTACATGGGTCCTCACGCCTGCACAGTAGACACTTTACATGGGTCCTCACGCCTGCACAGTAGACACTTTACTGACTAAGCCATCTCCCAAGTCCCCAGAACAAAAGGAATCCTAGGGAACTCCACATAAAAGAACAGGGAAGGAAACAGTACTGGTCAGTCAGACCCAGCAGTGGTAGAAGATGTACTGTGAGCTACAGTCTGCCTGTCCAGTGTCCCTGAAGGTCCTGTGTGGTAAAGGGCTGGTCCTTAGAGTGCTCCTACTGGGAGGTAATGGGGCCTGTGGAGGAGGAGGGGGGGTGGCTACGGGAGGACTAGAGGCTCTGAGCATCCTCTGTTCCTGGCTCATGACTGTGATATATACTCCAGCATTCACCAGGTCAGCATGACGCCCACCTGACCAGAGTTCGAATCTCCAGAACTGCCATTCAAAGACACCTTTCTCTCAATAAAATGAGTTGCCTAGGTTTTTCACTGCAGTAACACAAAGTTAATAATACAATGTCAGAATGTTCATGGTAGTTACTTTTCATCAAAGACTAGATAAAAATTTTTAAAATAACTATTCTTTTTCTATAATGAACAAGTTTTCCTTTGCAATCGAAGGGTCTTGGTTAGGGTTACTGATGTGATGAAACACCATGGCCAAAAGCAAGTTGGAGGAAATGGTTTACTCACTGTTTATTCACTCAGTTCCATATAACAGTTCATCATCAAAAACAAAGGGCAGAAACTCAACAGGATAGCAACCTGGAGTCCGGAGCTGATGCAGAGGCCATGGAGGATGCTGCTCACTGGCTTGCTCCTCATGGCTTACCCAGCCTGCTTTCTTATAGAACCCAGAACCACCAGCCCAGGGACAGCACCACCCACAATGGGCTGGGCCCTGCCGCATGAATCCCTAACTAAGAAAATGCCTTACAGGTTTGCCTCTAGCCCAAACCTGCGGAGGCATTTTCTTAACTGAGATTCCCTGTTCTCAGATGACTTTAGCTTGTGCTAAAGTTAAAACAAGACTGTCCAGCATGGTGAGCAAACAGGCAGTACCCATGCCTTGACTCTCACTTGATTTCATTCTCTACCAACTGTGACAAGGACAAGATCCTCCTGGCCCTTGGACCAGGACCTTTCCTCAGCTTTATATGACAGTAGAGAGTAAGAGTCAAGTGCCGAACTCTAGCTGAACTAAAAAAAAACAACATGTTGCCAAATTAACTAGCTGGTTTATGAAAAACCAGTAAGCTATAGGTAGTTACCTCCAAAATGAAACATTTCCCACAGGAGGGAGAGGGGTCTCGTGAGCCTCAGGAGGCAAACAAAAGGTCCCAAGTCTGTGAGAAGTAGTAGGTGGCCCCTGAGGGTCCCTCCTCAGAGTAAAAGGGAGCACATTTCTGGGGAAGGAGACTGCACAGCCCAACTGTAGCGAGAGGCCTGGTGAGCCGCCTACAAGCTGTGCAGAAGGCTCCTGGGTCACAGCTCTCCTGATTTGTCACTCATGTTGGGGAGAGGGGCTTTTGATGACCAGGTGCCTTGTGCCACTGCTGCATCTGGAAGTAACCCCTCATTTCTACTCCTGTTAGTAACCCCCAAAACCTCACTGGTTTAACAAGACACATCCTGTTACTTTGGTCTCTTGGGGGGTAAATATGTACTGTGTATGTGTGTGTGCGCACACATGTGTATCTGTTGTGACTCCCCAAGGAAAGCCTGTCACACAATAGCATATTCAGGTGTAAGAATGAAATTCCTCAGGCTCTCTGAAGAGAAGCCATGCAGGAGGCTTTACAAAGGCCTTGACCTGGAATGTTACTTGTCAAAATGTAACCTAACGTTTACTGGAGCCACACATTTGCAAGGTACCCTGGAAACAATTCAGTTAGTCAAGAGTACAGAGTTGGCTGAACAAAGTTTCTCTAGAATGGCATAACCACAAACAACACTGAACGAACGAACGCTCTGGGTATAGGGAAAGGCGCGCTGTACCTTAAATGAATGTGAAATGCCCGCATGGTCATTTGATTCAACACTTGGTCTCCAGCTGGTGGTACCGTTTAGCAAAGGCATGAGACCTTTGGGACTTTGGGCCTGGCTGACAGACCATAGGACTGTAGAGGTAGGGCTAGAGGGTTATAGCTGCCTCAGTTTGTCCAGTCTCCGCTTCCTGACCCACAGTCATACAGCAAACTTCTGCCACCATGAACCAAGCCATCATCCTTCCCTGCCTGTTCTTGTCGGGCACTGGAAACAGGCACAAGAAAGTCAACAATGCCCTACACAAGGTGCAGAGGGGCACACACCCCATAGATCGCTCTCACAGAGGCCAACAGCAAAATTGTCTTTGCCTTTCCCCTCTGAAATGGGCATACATTCCTTTCACTAGCAGAAAGTAACAGTTGCTGTTTGGAAGAGAGAGAGGTTATGAGCTCCCTCTGCCAAATCAACAATAAAAAACAAAGGCAAGCCAACATAGACACTTGTAGGAAGGTGGGCGGTGGTTTTGAATGTAACATGGCCAGGATGAAGGTGACTGGCAGAGCTAAGGGACAGCAAGGCACTTGCCACGCTCTGAAAGGACCTGCCACTCTGCCTTGCTTGAGTTTTCACAGCTAGGTGGACTACAGGAAACTTCTACAAAGCCACACCATACAGAACATAGACCCAGGGCACCTCACCTGGGGCTAAATGAAGGGACCTTTCTATTTCCCTCCCTCATCCTCCTTCCTCTGTCCTCCCTTCCCATCCAAGCAAAAAGAATAAAAATAAAAAAGAAGGAAAAAGAGTTAAAAACCCTAATGCTCCATAAGAACAAGCTGCATGCGGCCATTAATACCTGTGACCTTAATGAGTATGAACCCAGCACCGTAGGGGACAGAGACAGGATAGTGGGACTTGCCGGCTGCCAGCCTAGGTCCAGGCTCAGCTAGAGACTGTCTCAAGGGAATCAGGTAGAGGGTGACACAGCAGGACAAAGGTGTCTTTCTCTGGCCTCCACCCACATGTGTATAGACCACGCAGATACACACCGCCATCCCCACCCCCCACAAATCTACTCCTCTAAAGTCCTAATTAAAAGAGAGAGAGAGAGAGGGAGAGAGAAAGCAAAAAACTGGCAGAATCAGCAAACACGAGACAAGTGTGGTTGTCCTACTAGGTTTTGTATTGCTGTGATAAAGACTTTGTCCAAAAGCAACTTGAGGAGGAAAGGGTTTATTTGGCCAATGCTTTCTGACCTTAGTCCATCACTAAGGGGAGCCAAGGCAGGAACTCAAGCAGGGCAGCAACCTGGGGGCAAGGGCTGATGCACAGGCCACGGAAGAATGCTGCATCCTCCACCTGCTTTCTTATAGAACCCAGGACCACCAGCCCACCTAGAATGGGCTGGGCCCTCCACCATCAATCACTAATAAAAAAGTATCCTATGGACTTGTCTATAGGCCAATCTGATAGAGGCAAATCCTCAGCTGATATTCCTTCCTCCCAGAAGACCCTGGCTTGTATCAAGGTAACAAACAAACAAACAAAAAAATGAATCAACACAACGATAAACATAATAGATAAAAATGATAAAAACATTATCATTCTGAAATAATGAAATCAAATTCTAAAAAGATAAAGAAGCTTCATTTCTCAAGCCTTCTTGTGACACTTAAAGTGGCGTTAAAGGGAAGAAATGCACAAACTTCAAAGTCAGTAAACAAAGAAGTGATTTTTCGGAGCACATTTCGCTTCCAAACGAAACGTATTTATTCTTTGTATAACATCACATAGCAATAAACTACCCCAGGTTTCCGCACACTCTAACGTAAACTGGCTGAGCGTTACTACAAAGGCTGCCTCTTTAATCTTTCAGAAGAAACCCTGAAAATGATTAAGGGTAAAGGCAATCTTGACATAAAGGGAACAGAAGATAACAAGTAACCAGGAGAAACCAGGGAGCCAGGAGAAAATCAGGCTGCTCTCCCAAAGGAAAAAAGAATAAGGAAATCTGAAATCAAACGACCACTTAAGTGGGTCATTTGCATGTACGTGAGAGATGAGGCAGAAGGATCAGAAGTTCAAGGCCATCCTTGGTTACACAGGAGGGTTAAGGCCTGCCTGGGTTAATGAGACCTTGTCTAAAAATAGAAAGTCACATACACATACAATTTTACAACATATATACGCACATATATGTATGTATAACACACATGTCTATGTATGTGTGTATGTATTTTAAAGTGACATTAGACTTCTCAAAAACAATGCTTACCTTAAGGAGATAACTATATGACATTCTTAAGATATATGTATTTATTAAATTGAAAAACATGGAAGTGAAGAGACATGGTAACACCCAGACAGTACACACACAAAGAGAAGAAAGTGCTGGAAAGAACAAAGTATTACACAGATCATAGGCAAAAGTTTGCCAAGCTTCTGAGAAATGTTTTACTATACAACGGAAACTACACTGAACGCCAGCCAGACACAAAGGAAGAGCCTGTTCACCGGTATATATAGACCTTCTTAAAATTCAAGGAAACCCACAAAAGGGAACACTAAGAACGTTCAGAGGAAAAGATCAATTACCTTAAAGAAGCAAGAACCAAACAAAGGGACATCAGACTCCTCAGTGTCAGTGCTGACAAGGCCACCATAGAGACAGCCGCATGACCTTAACATACTGACCCTCAATACCAAATGCTCCGGGGGACAGCTCAGTGGCTCAGAGCACACACTGCCCTTCCAGAGGACAAGAGTTCAGTTCCCAGTATGCACTATCAGGTGGCTCACCACTGACTGTAACTCCAGCTCCAGGGGATATGATGCCCATCTTCTGGCCACCTCGGGCACTGGCATTCTTGTGCATATACACACACATGCATGCACACCTAACTGTTTCACAGCATGCAGTGTGCCAGGGTCTGAGAGAAAGCATCTGGAAGGACACAGGATGTGCTGGAGACAGAGTGGTCCTGCTGAGTTGGACAAATCTGAGAACCCGACAGAGAGCAAATTATAAGCTCCTGGCAAAGGGAAGAGAAACACTAAGAAGCCAACTGTGTGGCCAGAGGAGGAGAGAAGGGGCAGAGTAGTGGGTAGCAGGAGATGGTCACAGGGGCCTCCTGGTGGGGACACTGAACTCAATGCCACAGCCATACACTGTGACTTGGCATCTAGTGGCTGAGACCTTGAGTAAGATGAACCCCTCATGGCCATCATTCCTCCTCACGCATCTCTTAGAGGGTGTTGCAGGACTCGGTGTCTACATGAGTGACAGCTGTCAAGTAAGCACCAGTTAGCACTGGGGTCCAGCTGAATGAGACAAGAGATGAAAGCAGCCAATGGCATTTATCCAACTCACCCACGATGTCTACCACATCTGGCCGGATGAGTGGCTCTCCACCCGTGAGTCGGATCTTATCCACACCTTCCTTCACAAAGAGCCGAGCAAGGGTCAGGATCTCCTCTGTGGTCAGTAGGTCAGCCTTGGGGGTGAGGGACACACCCTCCTCAGGCATGCAATACCGGCCTGAGAAAAGGAAAGGGATGAAGAGGTAGGGGGCAGGTGTGGCAGGCAGGTATCAACTATAGTCCCAAACCCCGTCTGAATACTGCAGACTCACTGGTCATTTCTCATCTCTCTGTCATCTGGCCTTACTACCCCTCCACCAGGGAGCTGAGTATGGGTGAAAGATGTGGCTCAGAGAAGGAGAAAGTCTGAGATGCTGGCTCCTTCAATCTGAAGGCAGCTGGGCAGATTAGCCTAGAAAGGCCTATGAAGCCAGTCTGTGGGCCTGTGTCCGTTAGCACAGTCCATTCGCATTCTGTCTCGCGGTGATAAAGCCAACTCTTCTGTGCATGACTGAGATGAAGAAAAGGGTCTGGTTCAGTGAAAGGCACCACGCTCTGTTACTACCATGTCCCCAGACCCATCAGGCCGGAAAACCCAGGGGCCCTTTGTGCAGAGGGAGGAGCAGAATGGGGTAACCATTTCCTACCATCACTTTCCACAGGCTGCCAGGCTAGGCCAGATCTGCTAGACTCATAGCTGTGTCCGTCCATTCCTATCGATGAGCCACGTGGGCCCAACACAAAATCACAAACTTATATCACTGTGAGATTTTGTTTTTGCAGGTGTGTGTAGGTGTGTGTTTGTATGTGCATGTGCGTGTGTGTGTGTATGTGCGAGTGCATGTGTGTGCATGTGCGAGTGCATGTGTGTGTATGTGCGAGTGTATGTGTACGTGTGTATGCACGAGTGCACATGTGCATGTAGAGGCCAAAGGTCAATGTGGAGTGTCCTTCTTAGTCATTCTCCATCTTCATTTTCTGAGACAGGGTCTCACTTTTATTGGGACTTTGCTGACTGAGCTAGGCTGGCCGGTGAAGGGATCCACCTAACCCTGTCTTCCAACATTGGGATTACGAGAGCACCTCCATGCCCTGCCTGCCAGGCCCTATCTTTTGTTTGTATGTTTGTTTGTTTTTAGACATTGAACTTAGGGTCTCATACTTTCATGGAAAGCACTTCCTGAGCGAGCCACCTCCTGGCCCCCTACAATTGTGTGTGTGTGTGTGTGTGTGTGTGTGTGTGTGTGTGTGTGTGCACGCGCGCATGTGAACGCGGTGTGTGTGGTTCTGTTTCTTTGGAACCCAGCTGCCAGGTTCTCAGTGTGATCTTTGTAGATATCAACGTCTTACAATACCAGAAAGTTATTTGGAAATGCCTTTTGGAGTCACAGACTCAAGCATGCACACTGAATGCACATCTGGGCAGTGAGAACAGAGCAGCCCACCTGTAGAATATTTTGTTTGGTTAAACATTGACCAAACACATATGCAATGACTTACTCAATACTTCTTACTGAGAAATATAGTCAGGGCGGGAGGAGAAGAGAGAAAAAGAAGGGAACAGGTAAGGGGGGCTAAGAGGGAGACGAACAGGGATGAAAGGAAAGAGAGGAGGAAGATCCTCACAGTGCACACAACCCCGGAGCAGCCAGGAATGCACAGAGGGGTCTGCGTGTTGTTGTCCAACCCAGGCCTGGGACGTCTCATAGCCATGGCCATCTTTACCACTCATCTGAAATGTCCCTATCACACACACAGACACACACACAGCCTAGGCTACGCCCTGGGACTTTGGGTACTGAAGAGAAACAGAAGGAATGTGCTCCAAAGAGGGAGAAGAGCCCCAGACCTACTCTTAATCCTAAAACTGACCACAACTGTTCCCAAATCTAACACTGAGGAGAACCTAGCTTCCATAATTCCAAAGCAAACTTCAACCCGGTGTAGCGGCGAACAGGCTGACCAGTTGCCGATGAGAGGTCAGGAGAGTGGGGAGGTGGGAAGGGGAGGGTGAAAATTTTCGAGTATGAAGGGATTGTGGGTGTCACTTTGGCAGAGGGGCAGTGTCCCCGAGGTGACCCGGGAGGTGACTCACATCGGAGGTTGCACTTCTCTGTGAGAGAGATCCGCAGGTAATTGTGCTGCCGGCCAAAGCTGTCCGTGAGGAAGGCAGAGAAGGGAGCTGCATGCTCTTGGAGGAACTGGACCCTCGTGGACAGCCCCTGCAAGGACAGGGACACGATGAAGCTACGGGCTCTGTGCCACAGCTCTGGCTCAGTTGTGGAGAGCTGAGGGAACCCAGAGATGAGCTCCCTCTCCCTTAACTTGCACAGCACCTCTAGCTCTCCCGTTATCCACAGTAACCTGGACTGCTCCTCTCCCTGACTGACTGAAGATGCACCCACCACTGAGTCTGTAGAGACATCTTCCCTGCAGGAGTGAGCCCAGACTGGTGCACTCAAGCTGAAGGCTGCTGGGCTGGGGAGGCTAAGGTCTTCTTCCCTGTACTTTACATTCCTTACCCAGTGCCAAAAGGAAGGATTAGCCAGCCATTGTGTGGGGCCTAGGGATTGCTGCAAGCTCCAGGAGATGAGAAACCTAGGAACCAGCTTTGGGTCTGAATGGCCAGGTTCTGCTCATCAACAACTATAGGGAATGCAGTCGTTAGCAAATGACTCCAGGTTCCAATTCGCTGTGGTTTAGATGTTCCTGTCTAACTTAACACATGGTTGTGCAAAGGCCAGGGAGGAGCCAAATAAATCCAGGAACTAGGAGGGAGAAGACCAAGAAACATGACTCAGCAGAAGCCTGAGAGCGAGCCTGGCCAAGGACCGATTAAGGGGCTGGCCACTGGCCCAGTCTGCCAACACACACCCTTCCCTCCCAGCTGGTCAAGCAAATTTATCGCTTGGACACAGCAAGCCCCATCCCAGGACTCTTCTCCTCCCACACCTCATTTCTCTCAGTCTCCCGGGGGTGGGGTGAGGGTGGAGACGACACTCTCCCACCCAAGGGGTCCAATGCTGACCACAGAATGTCAAACTGTTCTGTAACATATAGGCCTGCCTATATGTAATATATAGGAAAATGGTAGCTGCAAACCCCGCTACTTCTAGATAGGCACAAGGCTCTCAAGGCAGGCAGTCATGGCTTTCACCACAGAGCTTCCAGGACACTGAGGAATCCTGCCCCCAAGAGTCACTTCCTGTGGTCTGAACTCTCCACTATGCAGCCAGGGCTGAGGAAAGTTTTAATCTAGGAGCAGCAATCCTGGTTCTGAGCAGACTCTGGACCAGGTAAACCTGAATAACAACCTGGTTCTAGCTATGGTCCAAGCACCTGAATCCCCTTGAGTTCCAGGCATGCCAGTGCCTTTGAATGTTGCAACACAATGTTGTCATCTACAAAGTTTATATGCCGTAGAATGCTGCAACACAAGGCAGTCAGCTACAAAGTTTAAATGCTTTCGGATGTTGTAACACCATGCTGTCATAGATAAAGAACCACACAACTCTGTTAAAACAAGCAAACAAACAAAACCCAAGCATAATGTTTTAAGTTATGGCTTTGTGTTAGGCCACATCCCAAGCTATCTCGGGGCACAGGTGGCTTGTAGGGTTGTGTAATGGGAATGTCCACAGAGCTGAGAACATTCTAGAGAGATGCTGTGTCGCTCATTGTCTATCTGGACTGTTGAAACAAGGTACCCACAGGGAATTGGAATTCCCCCATGAGTCTCATGCTGGAAGAAAAGACGCCAGCCAGTGACGGACCATGTCTTCCTGTGGAGATTTCACACAATGGTGATAACCTGCCAGACCACTTCTCTGGAAGGCCAGAGGTTGAGACAATGATGAGGCATTGGTGGGCAGGATGCACAGCTCTTGCTTTCTATTTAAATCTAAGCCTCGTGTCAGGACCCCAAAGATGGACTTGTGGGGAGAGGAGTCCACTGAATCGCTTTATCACTCTTCCCAATATGTCCACATTAAATAGAACTATGTTGTTTCTGCTCTTCACTATTAATTTGACTCATTTTGGCACTGTGAGGGGGGTGGCCAAGCCTGGCTTGCTCCAGCTGGGCACGAGCTCTGACATGGCTGCTGCAGTAACAGTCATCGGGCATGCCTGCTCAGCCTCCTCTTCTGCAAAGAGAAGACAATCTCATCTAATTCAACTGATGGCTCCCTTAACACTATCACTAAGCCACTGCCATTTGTGCCTGGTTAACACTGTCAACTTGACAGGAGCTAGAACTGCCCAGGAGACAAACCCCTCTAGGCATATGGAGATTACCTAGATTACATTAATTGAGGTGAGAAGTGCCTGCTTTACAAGCATGACACCTGAGTTCAAACTCCAGAACCCATGTTTTAAAAGCTAGGGAGAGATTCCTAGTGCCTACTGGCTAGCCAGCCTAGCCAAATCGGTAAGCCCTGGCTCCCAGTAAAAGACCTTGTCTCAAAAGCAAGGTGGTTAGCCCCTGAGGAATGACATCCTAGATCGCCTTCTGGCTTCCAAACACTCAAGCACATGCACACAAACATACCCCTCCCCTACGCGCGCGCGCGCGCACACACACACACACACACACACACACACACACAAAATCTCAAACTATTAAATAGGAGGTGCCCCAAGCTTGATTGTATGGCCTTCTCCCCCATGCCCTAAGAGTGGGTGTTCTTTGCATCTCTGGCTCCTGACCAGCATAGTTCACTTCCCTAAGACATGGAATTCAAGGATCTGGGCAGGTTTGAAGCGAAGAGCAAAGACCCTCCCTGCTTTCTCCTATACCTCCTTCCTGTCTTCAACATTGTCTTGCCAGTTTCTGGTCTTCTCTAGAACTCTGAACATCTAGGTGACTGTGCCTTACCCAGGGTCACCCCATCTTTAACCCCACCAAGACAGCAGACTCAGGCTTCAGCCCAAACTCCTTTCTGCCTCTGGGGAGTCAGAATAGAGAACCAGAGAAAGAAAGGGTATACCTGAATCGAGCTCAATCCACTAGGGAAGATGTCTGGCCACCCCAGTCATCGATCTCCCTTGGAATCAGTGAAAGCTGTCCATCTGTCTTTAGACTGACCCAGGGCCAGCTCTTACAACCCACACCACAACACACAGGATACCCAGTGAGCGTCCACCACGGCTCTCTATCTCAGACCACCAGAGTCCTGTGGAGGGCAGGGCAGGGCAGGGCAGGGCAGGGCAGGCACAGGGTCCCTGCGGGAATGGAAAGCCGGATGGGGATCTGGGATGTCCCCACTTCTGCTCCTGCCCACTGGCAGTGGAGCTGAATACATAACTTCATCTCGCCTCTAAGATTCTCTTACAGATCCCCATGCCCTGTGCCCCTGAACAAGGTGAGCTGGTCCAAGCCTCTGGATTTACAGACAGAAAGCAAGGGAAAGCGGGAGCCCAGATTCAAAGCCATATAAGACCAGAGGCCAACAAAAGGTCACCAGTCTCCTATGTCTCAGTGTCCCAACTAACTCATTAAATGTGCTTCAAACATCCAAAAACATTTATTGACTTGGCTGGCTGCATGCATTGTGGGAACCTCTGTAGAAATACCTTGAAAGGCCAAGGGAGCCCTAGCATCCAGGGACTTTCAACAGTGGAACACAGTCCCCACTGAGGGACTCAGAGGCACTGTCCCTCTGCAGCCGACACAATGGTTGCTTGTCCAGGTAGGAGGGGCCTAACAGGACTTACTACAACATGTGCCACAGGCTAAAAGGACCAATAATCGCCACACATCAACGCAAGGCTGCCTGCGTTCACCAGGCCCTGAGTGCCGAGATTAACTCATATGGAATTGACGCCCTATGATGAAAACACGAACATCCCCATCCCACAGACCCAGGTCCCATTCTCTGAGAGAAGAGAGACACATGGCCGATAAGATGTGGGGCTCACTTAAATCCCAGGGTTCTGCTCTGGAGCCTGTGCCCTTCCTGCTGGATCACTCACGCCCTCCCCAAATAAAAGACCGGGCAGAGCATCTGAGGAAGGGTGCCGGCACAGGGGCTGGGGTTGTAAGTCCCTGCTCCCCTGACTTAGAGTGGCCTGAATCACGTGAGTCACACTGCACAGGCCTTCTCACAGAGTAAAACTTAATTATGAGGGAAAAGAAAGCTCCTTTTGCTAGTATCATTTTTAAAGCTCCCATGGTGGCCTTGGCTCTCCTGAGTTCTCACTCAATCAAGTACAAAGTTCAAGGGTTTGAAAATCCCTGCAACAGTGAGCCCGCTTTATCTGAGGATCGCGGAGAGGCAGGGGTGAGGAAGTGAACATCCTGGCAGCAAAGTCCGCCTGGGTCTTGAGCAACGCCAGAGAGTCAGACATTGTGGAACTCCAGGGTCCCAGGGCATCAAGGCCAGTCCTGGAAGGCACAAGAGAAGTGGATGGATCTATGGGAAAGGGGACCCCCCCACCCCCCGCAAATGTTTCCCGAACCTCGCAAACAAACTGAAACGGAAAGCAGTGACTCGCTGCGGGCCCGAAGGACCCTGCTCCACACTATGAAGGCAGGCAGGAGGAACTCCTAACCCGGAGCTTCGTCTTGCTCTGTTCCTGACTAAGACAAGGCAAAGCCCTCCCAAGAGAAACAAGATAGATCATGGAGCACTGCCACTACAAAGCGACAACCGGTGTGAGTGACACCTCAGCTCCTGTCACATTAAGAAGCAGGTGTCCTGGCGACACTTGACTATGAACTGGCACCCTCCACTCAGGAGGTGAGGGAACAATGTTTAAAAGGGAAGGCGAAAACACTGGAACCTAAGCCTCACCCCCCCCCCCCCCCGTGAACCCTATTTCCTGCAGCACGGAGACCTGTTAGAAGGTGGCACCACCAGGGTAGCGGAATCCAGGGGAAGGAAACTCTTGAAGAGTCCCTCCCGCTAGGTAGGAGTGAACTCAAGCAACCCTCAGTGAGTGTCCAGGTCGTCCCAGGCCAAGCCAGGGTCCTTTTTCTACGTCCAGGGTGGCATGCTTGGATCGCCTTCCAGGTAGGTGAGTGCAGGTGGGCTGGGTGGGCTCACCTCCCTGGCGGGTCTCGAGGGCTCCGCGGGGCGGGGCTGCGACACCGGAGCGCCTGAGCTGCAGCCCCGGGCGCTGGACTTCAGAAGCCGCCGCAGCATCCGGAAGGCAGACCGCGCCGCCATGAAGCCAGCAAAGGGAAGCACCAGGTCTAGAGCAGGCCTCCAGAACACTGTAGTAGCCTGGGACCGACCCGGCTCCGGGTCACTTCGGCGGGGAGGAGCGGAGGGCGGTGCTCAAGTAGCCAATCAGCGAGAGCACCGCTCCGCGTGGCCCTCTGGAAGTTGTAGTTCAGTGGCTCCTCCCCTTCAAGGCCGGAAGCATGTTCTTGTGCAGAAGTTCTTTTCCTTTGCCTGGTCTTGGATTTAAGCAGTCTTTAGATGCAGAATGTAAAGGGGAGGCATGAAAACTTTTAGGAAAGCTAAACTTACTTTTTAAATATTCTTAATACATCTTTTAAACTTTTTTCTTTTTGTTGCTGAAGGGTGTTGAGAACCTACACAGGATCTCTGTAGCCCTGGCTGGCCTAGAAATCACTTTGTGGACGCCTCAAATTCACAGATATCCTCCTGCATCTGCTTCCTGAGTGCTGAGATTACAGGTAGGTTTCATTATGACATATTCTTAAATCATGTGATATTTCAGTATGATATATTAAAATTGTGAAATATCAATATTCTACTTAAAAACATGAACTTCACTAGTTTCCTTCCCTGAATCCTGCTCTAAGACCCTGCTTGTAGGGAAAATAGTTGAGGGTTTCATACACACTTCTCAATTGTGTTCCCCAAAGATCAATAGTCTTGGCTTCTCCGTTCAAAAAAGGGTTTACGAGGGGAAGACACAAAGGAGTGGAGAGCACGTGAAGCTCCTCCCTACATGCAGGACTCTGCTAACCACCAATAACAAGAGCCTAGTGTGAAGGGCAAGTTCACTTTGCAATTAAGGGGAGAATCTCAGAGAGGCTAGGCGACTTCCCCAAAGCTATGTAGCTGACAAGTAGTTTCAAACCCAGTATAACTAAGATGCGCTGTGTGAGAAGCTTCGGGTCCAGTGAAGCCTGAGATCTTGGAGGTTCACTCACTCAGTAATGGCACATGTATAAGAACAGTAATATGCAGTCAGGCATGGTGGCATACACCTTCCATGCCAGCACACAGGGGGCTGAGTCAGCAGGATTATTGTGAGTCCTTGACTACCCACGATGGGCTACATAGTGAACCCCGCCTCCAAGGGAGAAAAGAGGAGGTGCTACTCTCAAACCTGATAATTTGATGTACTCAAAACCCTTCTGCTATGAAGCTGGAAGAAGCATTGGCCAGGATAGAGCATCAGTGAGCTGTGTGTGTGTCTGGAAGTGGGCACATGATGTATACTCTAGGACTATAGATAGGACAGGAAAGAGTAACTGAACATAATTAATTGACTTTTCCAAACACAGGTTGGCTATTGGAACAGCAGGGATGCTTTTAGCCTTATAGCTGGATATACCTTCTCTTGAGTGTTAAGTACCATCTTTGAGTAATACTGTGAAAAAAAAGTCAGCTTGAATTTCATTAGAGTTGGTGGAGTGTGCATGTTAAAAGACTCTCTGTCTGCAAAGGCTCTGGGGATCCACTGAGAATGGCTGGTGTGCTAAGGCTAGCTGTGCATGAGTTTTTTTTTTTTTTTTTTTTTTTTTTTTTTTTTGTTTTTTGTTTTGTTTGTTTTTTGTTTTTTTTTTTCAGGAGAACTTGGAATGGAAATAAAGAAAATAACTCATTTATTTGCAGGTATGAAGCCTGGAAAGGCTTCCAGAGAGCATCCAACCCAGAGAAAAGTCATTCACATGATGGACTTGATCCAGGAGCAAGTCCTTAGAAGTCAGAGGCAGAGACTGCTTTCTGGAAGGGCCACACCACGCCGTTAAAAGCAAGTCCTGTGGCCATATCATCTCACAGGGTGTACCCTCAGAGAGGGGAAGCTCATATTGGTACTCATAAAACTATCTGCCACTGGAACACTTTTCCATGCACTTCCATGAAGGACATGAGGCCACCCATTGTCCTTGGGGGAATTACATTTATTGTAGACACTCCCATCTCATGCTGACCTGGCCATGGAGGTCTTGGCTGTGTTCGCCAATCCTGGCGGTGTGAGAATTCCTTCCCTGGGGAGAAGTCTACCCTCTTCTCCAAAGATTTGTCCTCCTAAAGACAAACTGAAGCGGATTCTACCAAATCCAACCTGGCAGGCAAAGGGTTAATTGGGCTCACTTTGCTTCTGTAGTATGCTGAGAGTTCTTCATAGGAGCAAGGTGGAACTCAAGCAGCAAGGCTGGAAAGTCTTTATCTGGCATGAATGATGGCTTCCCTATGGCTGTGTAGAAGGAGCCTTTCCAAGGCCTGTATACTCTGGCACCTTCCCCAGACACCCTAGAGCCACAGGTGGTTAAGGAAGAATGGCATACAAACACCTGGGAGGAAATGCTGGGGGACGGGTAATTCCTGTAGATAGTCTCCAGGCCTGGTGGGGATGGACTTCAGCAAGCAAACACACCTGTTATAATGAAGATGGTGGCTGTTTTGCTCAGAGAACTGAGTTCTACAACTCCTGGTCCCAGGTCTGTGAAGAGTTAATGCCAGCAGTCTCTTGTTCCATGTGTTCACAATAATGGAAGATGAGTGCAGTGTACAGATTCCCACAAATAGTCACCACTGTTTCTTTAAAGACATTGCCCATTACATCACAAGGGGGACTTGGGGTGTTCTGTTCTGTTTGCCTCGCTCTTACTCGGTACTTATCCCACCCAAATTTGCCCTGCTCCCTCCCTAATGTCAATTCTGTGGCTCCTCCAGTTTGCTTTTGGGGTTCTGCCTGGATCCCATCGGTGGAAGGGACTCAGAGAGGCAGAGAACAGTGTGAGGGAGGGACCAATGGTTATCTGCAGCTCTCTGCTTTCTGACCACCAAGCCAGGGAAGGCAAGGGATGACAAATGTATAGGATAATTCTACAGCTGAAAGCCAAGTTGTGCTACCCAAAAGCAGCTGTTACTCGGTTCCACATCCATGTGGGCTCAGGAGACGGTCAAGTGTTTGCCGTGCAAGCATGAAGATCTGGATTTAGGTTCCCCAAATCCCAGGCATACTGGAGTGCACCTATAATCCCAGAAGAGACAGGAGGAATCCTGAGGCTTACTGGCCACGCATCAGGGTGTTCAGACTTCAGTGAGAGAACCTGTCTTTCGGGTTGGAGAGATGGTTCGATGGATAAAACACTTGCTGTGCAAATATAAGAACCAGAGTCTGGGTCCCCAGAGCCCAGCAGAGAGTGACCACCTGTCGCCCTAGCATTTTGAAGACAGAGGACCCCAAAGTGGACCACCTATTCAGCCTGCATGAAATTAGTGAGCTCTGGGCCCAGCAAGAGACCTTGCTTCAATAAATAAAGCTGTAAGCAATTGAAGAAGACAGCCAACATCAACTTTGGGATTTTACATGTGTTCACATATATGTGCATATGCATTGGTACATACACATGTACTCACATACATGAGAACATTCATCTATACTTAGGCAAGCATGCACAGTATACATATGAGTCATGCAAAAAGTTAAATTAAAACAGGATTAGTGAGATGGCTTGGTGGGTGTGGGTAAAGGTATTTACTGTATAAGCCCAGTGATCTGAGTTTAATCCCCCAGGTCCACAAAGTTGTTATCTGACCTCCAGCCCCCATTACAGGTACCGCGTGCACACATACATTATGCATACACACAATAATGAATTATTTTTAAAATGAATGAATAAGGAGAAAAGGGACAGAAGGCCTCCATACACATGCACAGAGAGAGAGAGAGGGAGAGAGAGAGAGAGAGGGAGAGAGAGAGAGAGAGGGAGGGAGGGAGGGAGGAAGAAAGGAAGGAAGGAAGGAAGCAAGGAAGGAAGGAAGCAAGGAAGGAAGGAAGGAAACATCCTTGGATTCCACAGACAACCAAATCCACTTCCTGGGGCCTGATGCCTTGCAGCAAGTTCATGTTTGCTGCCATTGGTTAAATGTGGTTGGAGAGATGGAGGCAAGATGCTGGCATTTCTGGGAATACTTCATCTCCATCAAGCTCTTGTTGCTCCTGTGGGGACTGGCAAGGCTGAGAACACTCTGTGCCAAGTTCCCCTCCTGGGGCAGGCAGGGAGGGGTGTGCCTGCCTGAAGGAGGCCCGAGAGGAACTGAGGAACCCTGACTCGGCACGAGGAGATCTGATTGCCAGCCCACACTTGCCACACATCCATCGTTGAGTCTAAGGCCAATTACTTAACTTGTGTGTCGAAGGGAAAGCCGCTTAGCTCTTTATCTTCATGATCTCACAGGGTGGAGCTATGATCCAAGAAAAAGAGAAAAGAAAATCTAAGATAGATCAAAAGCCGATAAAGAGCTGGTCAGTGGTCACAGAGATATCAGGGCATGGCAGAACCCAGGCCTAGAACACCATGTCCTGGCCCTGACCACACCCTTGCAAAGAGTTCCTTTCCTAAACTCTCTTCCAGGGTCCCTCAGCCTCTCCCCCCACTTTCCTGCAGCATCCAGCAAGCTTACAAAACAGTAAAAAGGATCTTGCGAAAAAAAATAAAAAGGGGTGTGTGTGTATGCAGTGTTGTGTGCATGTGTGTGTGTATGTGGGCAGTATGTGTGCGTGTGTGTGTGCAGTGTTGTGTGCATGTGTCTATGTGCTGTGTGCATGTGTGCAGTATGTGTGCATGTGTGTGTGCATTGTTGTGTGCATGTATATGTATATGTGTGCAGTATGTGTGTGTGTGTGTGTGTAATGTGTATGTGGGCATGGGCATGTGTATATGTGTAATGTGTGTGTGTGTATGTATGTTGTGTGCATGTGTGTGTGTATGTGTGTAGTATATTGCGTGTGTGTGTGTGTAATGTGTATGTGGGCATGTGCATGTGTATATGTGCAATGTGTGTGTGTATGTAGTGTTGTGTGCATGTGTGTGTATGTGTGCAGTATATTGCATATGTGTGTGTGTGTAATGTGTATGTGGGCATGTGCATGTGTATATGTGCAATGTGTGTGTGTGTGTATGTAGTGTTGTGTGCATGTGTGTGTATGTGTGCAGTATATTGCGTGTGTGTGTGTGTGTGTAATGTGTATGTGGGCATGTGCATGTGTATATGTG